GGGAGGGAGGGAGGAAGGAAGGGAGGGAGGGAAGGAGGGAGGGAGGAAAGAGTGAAAAGGGTTGTCCATCTTGACATTGTTTCAGATTTCTCTCTTCCTGTTTTCTCTCCTCTCAAGGAGGTGTGTGTGTGCGCGCGTGTGTACGTGTGTGAGTATGTGTACATGTGTGTGCATGTGTGTGCGTGCATGTATGCGAGTGTGTGTTGCGTGCATGTGTGAGTGTGTGTGCAAATGTGTGCATGTGTGCACGTGTGTGTGTATGCTCCACAAGCACACAAACCCAACTCTGTCCTTTAAACTTTTTCTTATTAAATTTAAAAACAAATTAAACTTAATTTTATAATTAAAACATAATTATTTCTTCAGTTCATGATGGACCATCCTGCAATCATCTGACGTGTATTTCTTTGGAATTGTTGGGTTTTTTTAAATCCTGGTAATAGGTGAATGTGACACAAAATTCACAATATTAACCATGTTGACTGTACAGTTAGGCCTTACTAAGTTCATTCAGACTGATGGACAGCAATGCCTAGAATATTTACATCCTGCATCACTGCATGGTTTATCTTATATCCTCTTTAAACAGCAGGGTTTATCTTTAAGAATAAGAATTATTAAGCATTTCTCATGCTGGAGGGAGAAGCTGTATGATGAGAGAGGAGAGGTTCCCAGCATCCTAAGGCTTAGGAAAGTGACCATCTCATTTTTAGAAGAAAGATAAATACCTATATTCCTTAATCTCTCAAGTAGCTTTTTTTTCTACCTTGTATCACAAAAACAAGGCCAGAGCAAAGTTGATATTTGTAATTTTTCAGAAACATTTTTAAAAACTCCTCCAGCCTTTATTTTGTAAATAGAGCAAGTATCTGTGAATCTTTTATTTTCCCGCCTACTGTTGTCCCCTCTCCTTTGTCCTCCACATGGTCCCCCACGTCTACTTTCATACTATATATTTTATAATCTCTCTTCCAATATGGGAGAATCGTGCAATATTTGTCTTTCTGGATCTGATTTATCTTGCTAAATATGATGATCTCGTTTCACCCATTTTTCTACAAATGACATAATATCTTGTTTTTTACAGCTAGCTAAAACTCCAATGCACGTGTGTGTGTGTGTGTGTGTGTGTGTGTGTGTGTGTACTATTTTAAACTTCTGGTTGTAAAATAATTTTAAATATGTAAAAAGTCATCAAGAATAGAACAGACCAGACATTCTTTTTGCAATATTTGCTTTACTGTTGCATTTTTTTATTGAGGAATTGTACAAATACTTTTATCCAACTACTACAACATGTATCTCTCAAAGAACAAGGAAATCCTCTTACAGACTTCCACTATCAAATTCAAGAAATTCACAAATACAGTGTTACCCACACATACACAAGCACTCAAACTCAGAATTTCCATATTCAAATGTCACGTTATCTTAGTAATGTCATTTATGGGCACTTTTTTCCCCTGCTCCAGGCACCGTTTCAGAACCACACATTGTACGTAGTTCAGTATCACCAGTGTGATATAATAATATATAATAATATAATGATAATACTGTGACATAATACATAACCCTGTCATTAATGTTCTGTGGCACTGAGATTTGCCCTGGACTTGTCCGATGCTTCCTGTGTGTTGAAGTCACTTGCAGCAGGAGTGTGACATCCCGCGGTTGTGTCTTAGTGACCTTTGTAAGAAAGTGCAAGGCGCCAGTTTCTCCTGCGAATAGTGTTGAATACTTAGTAAAGAAGGCTTGTCTTTTACATTCAGCCACAAAAAAACTGTCCATTTTACATTTTCTCTGCCCAATTAATAGGCAGAACCAAACTGTGGCATTATGCAATTACCTGATGCATTTTAAATTTTCTTTAATCACTGTAATATCCATTAAGGATTCTGGCCCAATTCAGTTATTACCGTGATGGCTGCAAAATGGCAATTTCCCCACCCTATTATTTCTCCTGCATTTATTGGTTGGCATGCTCTGCAAAGAGCTTTTCCCTATCTTAATCACTGTCTGCTTCACCGTAAGTTCATTGATTTTTTTTTTCCAGTTGGAGATTTAAAATTTATTCTTCCATCATTTATTTTGAAGCTCAAATTTTTCCCTTTTGCAAGTGTGTGCATGTGCCTGTGTGTGTGTGTGCACGTGTGTGTATGCATACACGAGTGTGCCCACAAGTGTGCGTGCATGTGCTGGTGTGTGTGTGTGTGGACATGTGCCTGTATATGTGAGTGTTCCCGCAAGTGTGCACATGTGTCTGTGTGTGTGCACGCTCACGTGCCTGTGTATGCGTGTGTGCCTTGTGCACATGTATGTGAAAGTGTGTGTATATGAGTGTGCCCACAAGTGTGCACATGTGCCCGGGTGTGCACGTGTGTGCTGTGTGTGTGTGTGTGTGTGTGTGTGTGTGTGTGTGTTGTGTGAGGTTATAACACATCTGATGAAGTTGGCTTTCTCCTTCCACCATGCAGGTCATGGAGATCCAGCTCAGGTCATCACACTTGGCAGTCAGCACCCCTGAGCCATCCCACCAACCCATCTTCCTTCATTTTTCAAACAATCCCATCGTATTTCAAGTTCTCATCTTCCAGTGCCATTTGTCACTGTTCATATGGGCATTTTCTGTCCCATCCCAACAACTGGTCCTTCCCCCTGGGAGCTAGATGCACCTATTGCTAAACGTTGTTGTGAGTGCACACAGTGAAACATGTGTTTTCTAAGTGTGCAGTTCAGAGTCCGTGTTCCTGCCTGTGCCATTAACAGCATTTGCTACTCTGTGTCTCACAGCGTATTTCTCCAGAAGGCTCCCAGGGAATGATTTATCCTGCTTTCCGTCTGCTCTTCTTCACCTCCCATAACGCTCCTCTTCTCTGTACCTCTCTGAAGATGAAGTGCAATCGCTCCACACTTCAAGCTTGGGTCGTTTTTCATCAGTGTTTTTACTCCCCGGGCAGCCTCATCCTGTCGTCTCTAACCGGTCTTCTCCCTCAAGCTCTGGACTTTACATCCTCTTGCTTTGACTCGGAATCTTCACTGTGGTCTCTAACAGACATGCTAATTCACTACATAAAAACTGGTCCACGGCAACCCTGGTCCACTACAGCCTTCCTGTCTCAAGCAACGGCAGGCCATTCTCCCAGGCATTCAGGCAAAAGCTTGGATATAACTTAAATATCTTCGAAGGTCTACCACCATTTCTGTGCCCTCCTCTACCACCACTACATCTCAGCAGCCATGGCTCCTGAGTGGACTCTTTCAGTAACCTCTTGAGACATCTTTGCAGGCCGTCTTCCGTTCCAAGACTTCATCCTTCACTCTACCTGTCCTCTCCTCTTCACACATGCTGATCCTTTTTTCCCTTGCACATCCCAGGATCCTAGGCTTGTTCCCACTCCTGATAGTTGTTTGGTCTGGTTTCTATATCAGGAAGCAACATCCCAAAGTATTAACTCAGCTAATTCCCTCAGCACTTCTAATTTGGGTCAAATTGTGCCTTCTCATAGGTCAGTGCTGACTGCTCCCGACACCCTCTCTCTGCTCACAACCCCGTGTTCTCTGCCTCACCACCCCCACCTACCACCCCCCCCCGTTACATTTATCTTTGCACTTTATTATTCATTTTACTTCAATGTTACACATTGTCAGTCTCCCTCTGCCACGTCCATTCTAAGAGGGCAGAAATCTTGCTTTTTGCTCAATGAACAAAATGTCTAAAGCAATAAAAAAAATGTATTCGAGTTTCTTTGTTTATTTGTTTGTGTTTGTATTTGTGTTTGTTTAATGAATGAGTGAGCAGCTTCACCTTACGTTTTTCTTTACCAAGCACTTGGAATGGAGAAGCTCCCTGCAGAATGGAGTCCGCAGATAGCATTGTTGGTAACGATAGAGCCCAACCACCACCTCGGCAATTCTCTGCGTATCTCCACGTGCACATGTGTGCCTCTTACTATGGGTGAAATCTAGCATTGTAAATAGAAGCGATTTTAATCAGGCACTGTTTTCAGAGCAGAGCGGGTCTTGATGGCCCTGAATTATGTCTTTCCATGCTTCATACAGCCCAGTAATAAGTTACAGATGTTGGTCATTCGCTGCTCCGTGTTTCTCCTGGCTTTCTTTTTTCTCATTAGTGGTAATCCTGAGTTCTATAGGAGGATGGGAGAAGATCTGGCAGAAAAACAAATTACTTTATACGTCCGCTGCATATTTTCCTATTAGACTCCTAGGTTGACTCGACGTCTAAACTTTATCAGAGATATCTCTTGTATGACTCCAGCGTTTCAACCAAGATAAGATGAGACATCTTGACAGACATTCAGAAATGGTACCTGCCACATTTCTGTCACCACGGTGTCGGCGTCAGATTTTGAGGGGTACACATGGCATGAGTGTGAAAGTGTCTCTACTGACAGCTACCAGAGCAAGAGAGCACACAGAAAGTGGGTGTCCTCTTGGCATTTACGCAGCATCGCTAGTTAGTTTTACAATGTTGCTTCGTTACTTTGACAGTGATATTGCTAAGACAACAGGAAGTATTTTTCTCACAGTTTTCCAATATCTGAGGACGATCATAAGATGAGAAATTAACCAACCAAAAAGTGAAGTTTTTAATTCATACAGCTCATGGTATCCAAAATTGTATAAGAAAAGTATATGTAAAATATGTAAAAAACACAAAGCCACTTGTGGTAACCCAGGACTCTAGAACCTCAGCAGAAAGATCTTGATGTTGAGGTCCATCCCGGGCTACATATAAGACCTTGTCAGAGGAAGAGAGAGCAAGAGGGACAAGGGAGAGAAAAGACAGGAAGCTCCTATTTATTTGTTTGCTCCATTTATTAGAGAAGTTTCAAAAATCAAGTTAATAGATCATATTCAACTCAATTTAGCCCTTAAGGTGTCTTTTGAATGACTCTCCTTTATAACATATTATACTTTACTCAGAGAAAATGAGGCCTCCCTTAAACTCATAAAATTCTCCATATGGTTTCTTTCCACAGATACAACACACTCAGGGGAAATCGGCACCAAGAAGAAGGTGAAAAGACTGTTAAGCTTCCAAAGATACTTCCATGCGTCTAGGCTTCTCCGTGGGATTATACCGCAGGCCCCCCTCCACCTGCTGGATGAAGACTACCTTGGACAAGCAAGGGTAAGCCAGTTACCCCCCACAGGCAGTGGTCAGGGACCTGTGACCCAGTTGACAGCACCTGGGTCTGAGCCCTACTCTGCCTCTAAGGAACTGTGTGACTCTGGGCTGAGTATTTAACAAATCTGGACTTACTTTCTCAACCACAAAATGAAGGCAATAGAACCACAGACCTCACAGAGGAAATTAAAGATTTTCTAGATAGAGCATGCTGTCGTGGTAGCTGTGGGGTATAGGTGGGGTGCTGGTGATTAAACACAGGACTCATGCAAGCTAAGAACATGCCCCACCACTGAGCTACACCCCCAATCCTGTGGTAAAGCATGTCTTCATGCATAATATCCTCATGCCAAATGCACATTAGCTACTTTCACTTTTATAAATGTGCAGAACATATTTTTACAGTGCTAAAAAAAGTAAAGTCTCAGCTTGTAAGATTGCTACTTAGGGCGCTAACTAAATTTTTAAATCTATTAAATTGTCTTATACGATGGCAACTGAAATTACGTCTAGTAATTACCAACTCTTCGCTCCACATTAGGGTCTTCTGGCAGCTTATTAGCCTATTGTTGTTTTTTTTAATTCATTCAAAAACTTGTAATAATGAATTATTTTCACTTTACATCAATCTGATAAGGTAGAATTCAATGTGAGATGATTTAAAAACAATTTTCAAGTTGTATCTAGACTAAGTTGCCAAAGGAATTTCAATTCCAAAGGTAAGCTGTCACCATCAAACAGATGTCAAAAGTAGTATTTTATAGCATATATGGTAAGTATTATCTCCATACAACAATACATTACTATATATATGCCACTAAAAATGAACAATAAATGGTGCCAGAGGAACTAACCCCCAATATCCTGTCTATAAAAAGATAAAAGTTAGTTAGACCTTACAGCAACCTGGGTGAAACTGAATGAGTCACTGGTTGTTTAATTAGTTGGTGATTGGTTGTTTAGTTGGTTATTAGTTGGTGATTGGTTGGTTAGTTGGTTATTAGTTGGTGGGTGGTTAGTTAGTTGGTTATTAGTTGGTGGGTGGTTGGTTAGTTGGTTATTAGTTGGTGGTTGGTTGGTTAGTTGATTGATAGTTGGTGGGTTGGTTGGTTGGTTGATGTTCATGTGTGGTTAGTGGTTGGTAGATGATTGGTTGGTAGGTAATGGCTAGTGGGTAGTTAACAAGGTGATGGATAGTTGGCTGATTTATTGAAAGGAGATCAATAATAAGTTCTAACACTGCAGTGTTGGTGACAGAGCATTCATGACGGGTTCCCTCCTCAAGGAGTCACATGTTTAAAAGGTGATATTGAGCCGGGCGGTGGTGGCCCACACCTTTAATCCCAGCACTCGGGAGGCAGAGGCAGGCGGATCTCTGTGAGTTCGAGGCCAGCCTGGTCTACAAGAGCTAGTTCCAGGGCAGGAACCAAAAAGCTACGGAGAAACCCTGTCTCGAAAATCAAAAATAAAATAAAATAAAATAAAATGTGATATTGAGATATATAAAAGAATAATAAACCAGAAGTTTGGCTGTCAGAGACATGGTGTGGATCTGCATTTCATGATGTACGATGTGGGTAAAAGTTCACTATAAACAGATGCTCTTTATTTCTTTAATAAACCATGAGGGCCAAGAATGCTGTATAAAATCCTGGATTTCTCACAGGACACAGACCCAGTCAGGGGCAGAAAGAATCATGAGTTAGTCCTTGCATTAGTAACTGTGCCTTCAAACAGGGGTGGTGAAGTTTTGGGAACAATAGCACAGAAAGAAGCAACCACTGGAAGTTTTATGTCACGTTTAATTCGAGATATGGTTCATTTTCTAATAGAAAAAAAAGTCTGTGTTACATGGTAGGTCTTTAAAGTATGTGGTATGTTCAGTCGCTCTTCAGTCTCCTACGCAGTAGTTAATTTTACATGCAGTCCACATTGAGACAATCCATGTGCTCAGCACTGGTTTTCACTTCATCTTTAAACCGTTTTATTGTAAGAACTGGGACTCTAACTCAGTAGATAAGTACTTGCCTGACATGCACAAGATCCTGGGGTTAGTTCCAAACACCACAAATACCAACAGCAAGAGGAAAAAAAGAAAAAAAATGTTGCAAAACTTCTCCCCAGTGCATCCTGCACACCTCCACCCATGCTCCCTCTGAATAAGCACTGTGGCAGGCACTTAAGGTATGTAGCACTGCCTCTCTCTGCCCCACAAACAAACCATCTGTTCTAGATGATATTGGCCACATCTTTCAGAGGAGGGTTGGAGAAAATGAGGGTGTAACCAAGGTGCAACAGTCAGGAAGAAAAGAGGCCGACATTAAACCAGGTAACTAAACCTGAGAGCCTGCCCCTTGAGCCGTCACTAGGGAGTGGAGTAGAACCTGGTTTACCCCAAATCTGCTGTACAGAGAGTAGTGTGCTACTGCTCCCACCTTTCTAAGTGTTTAAATTGCTGTGTCTAGACATAAATATTTGAATCTCAATGTGCTTCTTTTGGGCATTGTTTGTATCTGTTTGCCTTTTCAGCACATGCTCTCCAAAGTTGGAACGTGGGACTTTGACATTTTCCTGTTTGATCGCTTGACAAATGGTAAGGATTCTCACTAAAATACACACCATAGAGTGGATTCATTTCATGAGAAACAAATTGTATCTTTAGACAAGTTACTTTTTCTGTATTTTCCCACTCTCATAAATCCAGTCGGTCAAGACAGACCAGGGAGGGGAGAATTAATTCAGATGAAGAATGAGGCCTGAATTTGACCTTAGCATGTTGGGACAGTTTCCTTCTGACCTGTGATCCCAGAAGAATTAGGAAACCGCTGATTGCATTCCTTCCTCGCAGATAGTGTGGTCGTGTCCAAACGGAGCAAACTCATTGCTCCTCAAGGGAAAGTGAAGGCACAAAAGCACACCTGACTAGTCCTGACCCTTCGGGCAAGGTGTTCACACAGCTTCTTAAAGAGCGGAGTCCGCCCATTGAAGACATTGCTCAAAAAAGTCTGGCATGGTTGGAAGGAAGCAAATGCTTTGGGGAGAATGTAAAAGCTTAGGCTGCAGTTAAAAATTAAGCACTCCCGTTGAAAAAGAAGCACTCTTCTTCACATGTCTTTGTGTCTATAAAAGCTTTGCCTCGCAAAATAATAAAATATATTTTCCTCTACCTGTTAAACAAATGTAAAAAGCTTAGGTCAGTGAAATGCATCACTTAATGTTGATGTTGGTCTGATCCATTGTCATTCATATTTGAGCATTCAGTTATTGCCCATGGTTTTCTCAACCCTGACTTGGCAAGCAATGTGCTGAAAGAGAGATGTCGTATAATGTAGATGTAAATCCGTGCCGTGAATTTCTACTCTACAGAAAGCTAACTAAAATAGATACGGCAAGATCCTGGCGTCCCTAATGTTTCATTGGGCTTGTTTAGATCAGCTCGAAATGGGTACTGATAAACAAAATTAACTGTGAGTCAAAGAACTTCTGAAGTGGTGTTTGAAAGAAAGTATAATCATGGCTGTTAGGGAAATGAGAAACGAAGCCATCAAAGAGGCTGTTCATCTCAGTTCATTAGCAGGTCGCGGACCTACCACATCAGTTCCAAAGGAAACCGCAAAGAGCCACACACACGTGCAGTAAGGCACACTGAAATGGTTTTATAAGCCGCTGAGTGACAGCTGCAGTTAAGTCTATGAAGAGCATCAGTGGTGATGTTATCTCTAGCTTGGAGAGTTCTAAAATAGCTCCAAGACAATGAAATTGTGGAGACACCTTGATCAGGTACCCGAAGAGGACATTCTTTGGCAATACTCAGATTGCACTGAAGACGCTTGGGCAGCTCCTTGGCCCATTGCTAAGACCTGAATCCCTAGAGTAAAATTCTAGCTTTAACTCTGCAGCCCTTCTCGCTTGAATTGTGAAATGTCACAAAGTCAATCTTCTCTTTAAAAAGTGTTATAGGAAGAATGGGCTACTATTGTTGAGCAGTGTATTAATTTAAATAATCCTGTAATGTAAAAGTCAATTGGAAAGCAGCCATGCATTTTTAAAATTACATATACACACATACAAACACATACACACAAGCACCCTCAATACTTCAGTAGACAAATGTCTTCATTTAATATTTTCTTTTCCACTGGTGTAAGAAGATAGGAACTAATTTTATTTGTACAACAGTGAGAAACCTAGAAAGATCATGCTATATGTAATTTCAAATCCAAAGTGGGGAATTATTCTATCAGAGAAACCTTATTTCAGGTCATTTACATCTTATTTTCAATCTTGCTAGCTCATTTTTTAAAATAATGATAAAGCCAGTGTCTATTCCTCTCCAGGGAACAGTCTGGTAACACTGTTATGTCACCTCTTCAACACCCATGGACTCATCCACCATTTCAAGCTGGATATGGTGACCTTACACAGGTTTTTGGGTAAGTCTTTTTTTTCATGTTCCTACACAACCACAGGAATAAGGACAATACATAACTCTTTGATTACAAGTGTCGAGAAATCTGAGCTAAACAAGGACAACAACAACAGACACGATAAGGGAGAAAGCCCATGAGGCCTCACCCCTACACCAAGAACAACAAGCAACTAAGAAACGCTGAGATGGGGCAGGGGGGACATAGTGTTCCCCAGGGAAGAGCACACCAACTGGTTAGTCAACACCAAAATGTCAGTCCTGAAAACATACATACGAGTAACATTTACAGTCTGAGCAGGTTGTATTTGTGCGTATAGGAATATGTATGCATATACATATGTATGTATATATGTAATAACAATTAATGAAAAAGAGGCTATGAATTTGAAAGAAGTGCGGAGAAGTATTTGAGAGGGCTTGGAGGGTGGAAGGGGAAGGGGGAAATGATGTATAATATATTATAATCTCAAACAATAACAAATAATTTTAAATAAATTGTTAAGAACCACATCATGATAGAAAAAGATCTCAGATTAACCTTAAAAGATTTGATCTTAGTTTCTAAATATGGCTTATCTGTCCTAAGCCATTGACAAATCGTTAGCTTAGGATATATAACAAAAAGCACCAAGATATGTAAGTGTCTAAATGATTCTGATATGCTCTCATACTCACAAAATTCCAACGAGCTATGCATCAAGTAACTCTAGTCACAACACGAGTTGCTGGAAATCTTTAAAATGAATGATAATTACTATTCCCATCCCACCCACTATGGGGGGGGGACACTTTAAATAAATTATCTCTAACTATTTGAAGAAAACCGCAAGTTGGACATTATTCTCACCATTTGGTCCAGTTACAGAGAACAAACACGAGGTTTCATCAGTTTCCCAAGGCTACTGACTAGTGAGTAACCTACCTCAGTCCGCACGCAGGTCTAAGCCTGCCATCTTTATACACAGGGCTGCATCATTCTTTCTCTGAAAGCAGCCCCAGTTCCTCCTTGGTTCTGTGTGATTTATCTGTCCATGAATTATCCAGGGTAGATTCCCTAATCGCCAGATGGCTTGCCTCTGCCACTTAGCCCATTTCTGATTCTTTAGCTTGCCTTGTGATTGTAGTTCATGGATTTGAAAGTTGACTCGGTGCCAGCAGGAGGAAGATTAAAAGTGACAGCAACCACCAGGTTTACATGTTGTTTACATCTTCTGGGACCTCTTTCAAGGACTTTTATGGATTAATACATGGATTAATACATGGATCATGCAGAGGCAGTGACACTTTGACCTCAGAATAGTGCTAGCCCAAAGTCAGAGAAGAAAGTAAGAAATATGGTTAAGTAATTTGCACATCACAGGTAAGTGACAGAACCACACTTTACATATGATATGAAACAAGCCTACTGAATAAAGAGTACATGCAGCATAGTAGAACTATGTGGAACCTGCCACAACCTGGCTCCTTTCCAGAAACCTAAAGAACCTCAGACTGATTGCATTTTAGTTGCTTGAGCAAAGTAATGCCATGAAAAGGGTCAAATGATTTTTGATTGATCTAAAGAGATGCAGATTCTTTGGACATACAAGAAACACAGCCTTAACAGCTGAACTAACAGTAGAACCCGACCCAAACTCATAGCATAAGCTAAAAGAATAAAGCTTTTGTAAGTCTAGTCATTCTATACACACTGAAAATATTGCATCCCAAGCATCAATTTGGTCGTTCGCTGAAGCACGGTATTGGCTTCCATAAGCAACAAACTAAGATTGCATTGCCTATTATTGGACATGGCCCTCTAAGCCTTGTATTGCACCAGAGGGCCATGGAAGATGATGCTCTGGAAGACTGAGAGAGGCATGAACCAAGAAGCCTCCCTTGTATCGGTGCAAACCTGGAACTTCTACCTGATGGAGGACAGATTTGTTTCGATGAGTGTTTGTTAGTCAAGTGGTAATATAATCACTGGACAGCAGGAATCCAACTCACAAGGGCTCTGGTTTCAATGATTAAATGATGGTGGGGAATAAAGTTATACTTTTCCCTCCATATTTATTTGGCCTGTAAATAAGAATCGGCAGAAAGGGGCGGTTTGTGGAAGAGGTGAGAAATCCCAAGAGCCTCACAAGTCCTCTGGCCTTTTCTCCCCTTTCCTCTCTCTTTCAAACAGCCTAGTTGAAGCACAAGGCTTGCAAACCACCTTCATTTTTAAAGGATTCCTTTTGGAAGCTCTGATACTTTTAAGTAAAAAGCAGCTAAGTAAGTCTCATCTGCTATGCCATGCTTGTTCTGATTGCAGCTGACCAAGCTTTCTATTTTCTGCCTAGTCATGGTTCAGGAAGATTACCATGGTCACAACCCGTATCACAATGCTGTTCATGCAGCCGACGTCACCCAGGCCATGCACTGTTACCTGAAGGAGCCCAAGGTAAAGCGAGATTCAGTCGCCTCCTCAGTCACCTGGAGATGCCAGGTCATTGTATTGCTCAGCGCTAAATTGTTCAGTGTTGGGAATCCTCCACAATATGACTGCAACTTATTTATACTAACGTTTTCAGTGTCAGCTCTGAAACTCTTACCATAGCCATGAAAACAGATGTGGGTTTTCTGAGATTCCCTTCCATGGTTTATTGATTTTCAAGGCTGTGCGAGGCCAGAAACACCCAGCCTACTCTTAGATATGGCAGCCCTTTTGCAATGGACCTTTACCACAAACTCTGCTAGCCCTGAGCTTTATTGGAAAGGGCTTCCCGGCTTGTGGTTTTTGATCAATATATGAGGATCAGAGCTCCTCCAGTTTCAAGTCCCGTTTCTACTTGGCCAATGGGAGGTTTTGGTTCCGAGTCCAAGAAAATTTGTGTATGTTCAAGACTTCTTAGCTTGCAAGCATGCTCGGATGCAACGAACCAACCCAAAATCAGAGGATAAAGACATAATGATAGTGTAATGTAATGGCCTCACAATCAAGGCAGTCCCTCGCTAGCAAAAAAAATAGTGGTTTGGTATAATATACAGTAGGAATTTTCTTGAGAAGTTTTTTTTAAAAAAATAGCATTCAAGTTTAAGACTCTGCTTAGTTCAATCAACTTTAGTAATTCATTTAATATACAGATGCTTCAGCCTAATTCACTAAAGACACAGTTATCACACAGGCATCTCAGAAAGCCTGCGAACAAAAGCTATTTTTTGTCTCTACGTAGTCTAAATGTTATATCATATACTTTTACTTTTAAGTCCGACTTCCCATTTTCCTGCCTGTTTTCCTGTTGACCAAAAAGTAAAGATTCTCACACATTCCCCCACCACTTATTGCCTATTGAGAAGGAATTCAAAATTTGCAGTTCAAGCTCCTTCTTTCAAAGAAGTAACAAAGATACACATTTGTTAAAATACTCCAGGGCTGGGCCTAAGGTCAGTGGGAGTGTGCTTGACAAGCGTGCGTGAGGCCCTGGGTTCAATTCCCAGTATAGGATTTAAAATAACGATAATAATGATTAAGGGAAGACAGATAAGATGGCTCGGTTGGTAAAAGCACTTGCCACCAAAGCCTGACAATCTAAGTTCGGTCCCCAGAACCTACAGTGGGAGACCCCACACACGTGCTGTGGTTTGCACAGGCCTTGACTCACATCTACACATACACACACACACATGCACACACACACACGCACACACAGGGCAGGAGTGAGGGAGAGAAAAGCAATATATTTTAAGTGGATGTTTTAAACAAAGAAACACACAAGTGCATCTTTGAGTCTGTTTCTGCCTTTGAGTAACTCCTTTCTTCACGAGTAACTTTCTCCCCAAGCAAGGGTGAATGGCTGCTGCTCCTGCCCACCAGCCTTCGATATTGCCCACAGGCTAAGCCTCTGCAACCACACAACCTGCTAGCACGAGGAAGAGAGCCCGGGATGGAGAGCACGAGTTATGGTTGCCCAGTGGCTTCCCACGCCGCCCTTGCTGGCACACTTACAGTCCTGTGTGCATGTCCCCTCACCGGCCACCTCAGAAGACAGGGCTCTCACTCACAGGCCTCACGGTGTTTCGTTCTGTTGGACTGAGACACAGCAAATGGTAACAGTCAATCTCCCGATTTTATTCTTTGACAGTTGGCCAGCTTCCTCACACCTCTGGATATCATGCTTGGACTACTGGCTGCAGCAGCTCATGACGTTGATCATCCGGGGGTGAACCAGCCATTTCTGATCAAAACCAACCACCACCTTGCCAACCTGTATCAGGTAAAAATAAATAAATAAATCATAAAAAGTAAAAACTAAGCTGAGCAAGGGGCAAGTGCAGTCAATTGCCTTAGGTGCACAGCTAGAACTTTCTTCCTGCCCACAAAGATGGCCCTCACTGAAAGTCAACTTCGGTGATACAAACACATCCAAAGAGCAGGGTTTGAATTAGAACAGGCCTATCCTCTGAAGGCTAAGTTAGTGTACAAAGATAACCAAGAAACTAGGTTTGCTCCAAAGCAGCTTTGAAACTGTCTTAAGTCAACAGGACGCATGGACCTACCCTCCTGTGGTCCGTGGAGACTGTCTTATACCTAGTGGTCAGCTAAAACTGGTTCTTGCAGCTCTTACATAGCTACTTCCCAGGTATGATTCTAGTTCAGACTTGAGCCTCTGGATCCATTTCTAAGCTGGATCAGCCTTGGAGTCAAGGGTCTCTTATCCAAGTGAAGAGCTGTATTTTGTGGTTCCGACTGAGCTCTGAGCTCTGCAGCATGATTGGCTGGCCCAGAGAACTCTCGCCAGTGGTATGTCCATTCAGCCCTTAAGTCTCACGTTACTGCGCTTAAATATTCTCAACTCTCGGGTTTGTAGTTGTTTGTCTGTTTGTTTTGAGGCAGGATTTCACAAAAGCCAGCCAGGCCTCAGACTCTGCCCTCCTGCCTCAGCCTCCCAAGGGCTGGGACTTCAGCCAGATGCTGATGCGAGTTCTCAGAGTAGTCCTGGGGCTGTTTTCAGTTGCCAATAACAAGATTGTTTCATAAACGGGAATCATCTATCCCAGTTTTAGATCTTGTTTAATTGAGTGATAAAAGAAGTCTTATAAACCATCAAAAAAAAAAAAACAGCTCCATCAAGCAAGAGTCTTCAGCTCAGGGGTGTATTTATTTCCAATAAAATACAACGGGAACATGCAGATCCAGGCGCCTTTGTGATCAGAAAGGAACCAGCATCCTGAGGTCTAGGGTCCACCTGGCATCTCACTCATTGCTGGACCCCTTAGCAACCAGCGAGCACCTACAGTTAGAATTGGCTATTTATGGGGAGCTCAAAAATAAACCAAGAAACTGGGTGTGGTGGTGCCCGCCTTTAAAGCCAGCACTCAGGAGGCAGAGGCAGGAGGATCCCTGTGCCTTTGAACCCAGCCTGGTCTCAAACAAGTTACAGGACTAGAGAGAGTCAGAGGGACCCTGTCTCAAAACAAACAAACAAAAGCACAAAATGAAAGCTAAATTTTCAAAACCACCTGAGGAGCTAATTTTGTTGATTGATAAAATCATAGACATTTGAATGGGAGCAGGGGAATGAATGACTGTCTTGAGCTCCCCCCGCCCCAAGTAGACTTTCTAGTGCTGGCAACACTAACTTTCTCGAATGCATGCACCAGACAAAGAGAATCTGTCAACTTTGGCTACTTGATTCACCCCCAACTACCATGAAAACTTGTACCGCTCCAATTTCTCATTATCCTAATCCTAACAGTGAAGTATCTACCAATATGGACAGATTTGCACTTAAAATTAAGATTATAGAAGTAGACTTTTGCATGTAGTATATGAAAAGACATACACATTATGGACCAGTGAGATGGCTCAGTGGGTAGAGTGGCTTACTTCATGGTTCACCCTGAGTTCAAGCCCCAGGTCCTACAAAGTGGCACAGGAGAGCTAATTCTGGAGACTTGGGAGGCTGGGAGAACACCCTGTGCGTGACTTCCCTGCAATCCAGACGGACTGTGAATAGATAAGCTGTGGGAGGCTTTTCCTCTCCATCAGCTGGCTGGGCTCTTCCAGTTCTGATAAAGAAGATCCCTGCCTAACGCCCAGCACTTGCCTTTGCGCTAAGATAAGAGCCAGAGCAGCCGGAGCGAAGGCAGGGCCAGAGGGCACCCTCCCTTTCTCTGCAGACTGGACCTGATTCCCAAGCTGACTTGCCAACCAGGGTAAATATGAAGACACTACAGGCATTTCCACCTGGTGCCTGACTCAGAATAAAAGCAGTTCACGTGTCGAGGAAGGCAGACCAAGAGGGACAGGAGCTTGTGAGAAGAAGACCCCAGAATTTACTTTCTTTGCCTCCACTCTCCATTACACACCATCATACACACACACACACACGCACACACACACACACACACAGAGAGAGAGAGGGGGGGGAGTCACAGATCGGCAATTCTTCTTCATAGATTGCATCTACATATTAACTATAGACAGGCCAGAGAGAGAGAGAGCGAGAGCGAGAGAGAGAGAGAGAGAGAGAGAGTTGCAGATGGGCAATTCTTCTCGAGAGATTCCATCTACATATTAACTATAGACAGGCCAGAGAGAGAGAGAGCGAGAGAGCGAGAGAGCGAGAGAGCGAGAGAGAGAGAGAGTTGCAGATGGGCAATTCTTCTCGAGAGATTCCATCTACATATTAACCATGAACTGGCCACTCCATGGATAAGATAGCGGTTAATTCTTCCATGAAACCTTATAATTATCCCATTCTGTGATGTTTAGCGAAAGTGTATACGATTTTTCTTAATCATTTGCTATAGGCAATCAGGGGTGGGGATTACCATTTTAGATTCGTTTTTATTTTGAATGACTGAGCCACACACACCAGGCTGGCAGTTCGGGATAAATGTGTCTAAGATTGCCCTTCAGATATGTAATTGCAAAGATTAGTCATGCCCTTTCATTTCTACTAGAGCATTCAATTCTGTGAGGGAGGGTCCAAATTGGTCTTCTGCTTCAATAAGTTTCCCAGGCCCTGACTGAACATGTGTTCCATGGACACCAAGGGAATCCATATTCCTTCTTCTAAGATAAGTCTGGGGTAGATAAGATGGGTAAGAAAAGACTGGTCAAACAGCCCTTATAGCAGGGTTTGTCAAAGACCAATAACTTATTTTGAACTCAAGATGCTTCTCTTCCGCTGAGACCTCCCAGATGAGGCCCTTGGGGTATCTCCAAGGAGACCGCTTGGTTTGTTAAGCGAGAGCTGGGCAGAAACTTATTTCCAGAGTCATTTCGTGAGCAATTAAGAATGAAAACACAAGCCAAATTCATGCTGTTGTTTTTCTTCCTGTATCCTCTAGATTTAAAAATGGGAAAACATCTGATTTCTTTGGATGCCAGAGTCTCAGTTTATCAACATCACTCTAAGTATTTTCAGCAAAGGAAGTGTCCAATAAATAATGTAGGAACAGCCAGACATGGTGGCATGAGCCTGTAATCCTCTGACTCAAGGAGATGGAGACAGCAGGAGTGCAGATTCAAGGGCAGTCTGTGCAATTTTGAGAGACCCTGTCTCAAAATATTAAGGAAAAGGAAAAATGGGCTGATAGTTCAGTTGCAGAGAGATTGTCTACCAGCACAAGACCCTAGGTTCAAGTCCCATGACCACAAAAAAGGATAGAGGAAGAAGGTAGCCAGTATTAAAATAATAATAGAAGGAAAGGTTTCCTGCATGCTAGCAACTCATCTGGGCCAGATTCCCTCTGACAGACAGCCTCTTGATTTAATTTGAAAACCTGTGTCATGGTTTATTAAATGCCAACAATCAAAGGGATTGTGTTTTCTCTAGGGCAAATCACACTTGATAATTCAGAAAAGAAAAAGAGGGAGTGGTAGAGTTTTGCCTTCGATGTCAGAATCAGAAGGGTTTTGTTTTTCCAAATTAGAACTCTAATAGTTCATGTAAGGCACAAAGATGGAAGTTAATTCTTTCAACATTAAAATTAAGATTATTCTTGGGCTCAGGGTATGGTTCAGGTAGTTGTCATGCAAGCATGAGGACCTGAATTTGAATCCCCAACACCCATATCAAAGTCGGGCATGGTGGTATACACTCTAGCCTCAGCACTGGGAGCAGGAGTCCCAAGACTCGCTGGTCTGTCAGTCTAGTTGAAACTGCCCAGCTCTGGGTTCAATGAGAGAGCCTGTCTCAAAAATAAGGGGTAGAGCAATAGAGGAAGACACTTGAAGCCGAACTCTAACTGATATATACATGTACACAGCAGACAGACAGACAAACAGATAGATAGTAAATAGATTGGTGAGTGGATGGATGGATAGATAGATAGATAGATAGATAGATAGACAGATAGACAGATAGATAGATGATAGACAGACAGATAGTAGATAGATTGGTGAGTGGATGATAGATAGATAGATAGATAGATAGATAGATAGATAGATAGATAGATAGACAGACTTTAAAAGCTTATTCTTAAAACCGCAAGTGTGTGGAGGAGCCTGAGATGTGAAAACACTGCCACTGGACAATGTGAAATTGCTGAACCGATACTTCTTCGAAGCAGACAGATTTGCCACCTGATCTATCTCCCTAAACTGCTAGGATATAAGGGGACATCACGGCAGGATCATCTCATCATATGTTTGCATCTCTCTGGTCATTTCTGAACGCTCTCCCCTTTCTTCCAGTCTGCCTTGTGTGGACTATGGGATGGGCCACTGTGAACGTCAGATAAGCCTGTCACAGCAGTGCTGCCTGAGTGCTAGAGACACGCCATCGGCATTTCAGACCGTTGTCTAGGCATGCCAGTAACTGACCTGCTTCTTGTCCCTGCTTTTCCCTCGTTCAGGACATAGGCATCCTCCTGTCTCCTCGTATCCACATCACTCGCTGTTGCCTGGTTACAATCCTTTCCCCATTGTGCAACCAAGAGGAGTTTCTTTAAACCCAGTTCTGGCCACATGGATTCCTCCTAAGAAACCCACTGTTTCTCGGGATTATGTAAATAACCAAACACACGATGTACCAGCCCCAACCCTGGAATTCTCATCATAGCCTAGCTGACCCATCAAGCCTCTCTTTCCACCATATCCGCTCGCCTCCCTGCCCCCACAGCCTCAATGAATCACAAATTAGAAATACTTTCAGTTTCTCCAATGTATTTCATTTCTCTGTTCATTCAACAAATATTTGTGGAGTGTTTAATGCATGCCAACAGGTGTCATGAATGCCAAGGATGACCAAAACAAGTAAAAATCCATATGTTCCCCAAAGGCAAAGTAGGAAATAACTAAGTGAAATGTGTAATCTCGTACAATGTGACCATTTCTAAAACAAAATATACAGCCAGAAGAGAGATACAAACTATCTCTCACTTCAGCTCTCCACATACTACTTCTGCCCATTTTTAGTCAAATGCACTCTCAAGTAGTACATTTTCCTCAAATATAGCATACTCTCGGAGTCCACTCTGACCTGCTCATCATCTAATCTCATCATGGACACCTTTCCTCTCTGAAACTTTGCCTTGAAAGATCCAGCTTCCCTGTGTCTCCTCCACAACCTCGGGTGTACTGATCAAAATTGCCACTGCCTGGGTAGATGCTCATGTCTCAGACAGACAGCCAGTCTCTGGCATGTATCCTTTCTGCTTCCGGTATTAGCACATGGCCGGTTACTGAATGTCCCTCTGTTTCTCCTGCTGATTGTCATGTAAACCAGGTAATCTGCAGGATGGGTTGAAATGATTTTTAAAATTTCTTTTAGTGATTTTACTTGTGCTCTGCAACTAACAAATGCTGATACTTTATTTCTGGAGCTAATCTGTGAATATGTAACAAAGAAGAAAGAATTACTACCATAGTTTAAAAATATCTTTGCCTTGAAGACAGAGAGCAATAAAGGTGGACATCACTGTTCTTCTCTGGCCTCTGCATGGGCACACACACACATACACTGGAATGAAAACAAAAGCTCCAGGGCTGGTAGTGTAGCTCAGAAGTACAGCATATGCCTACATCACCATGTGGGAGGTCCCGAGTTCTAGTCCCATAATCAAAGAAGGAAAGAAAATAGCAGTTGCAGGGGTAAATCTTGGATTTAAAATCTCTGACTTAAATAATACATTGGCCATGTGCTTTTTGTTTTCAATGAGTAATAAACGGGCATTGAAAGCAAATGGTATTTAGATTCCCTGAATACATTTAATATGCAAAGATATGATATTAAAAGCTAATATTTACAAATAAGCCAGACATAACTGGATGACTTTTACATTTTTAGCCATCAATTCTGAAAGCAAGGCCAAAATTAAATCTAATTGTAGGTATTTGTGAGCTCATAAAGTTCTGGCTTCTGGGTGCTTAGATACGGCAACATAGAGGAAGTTCTCCGGAAGCAGCGAGAAGCATGCGCGTGGTCCAGGTTTCAGAACTGGTAGGCGTGACTTGAAGATGCTCCTTAGCCACTCACCAACTGGGTGCCAGCTTCACATGCTGCCCCCCACCCAGGGGAAAGCTGCATGTTTATTATACCTGAGGTCAGAACATCCAAGCACTAAGTAAAGATTAAATAAAGTGCTTGGCCCAAAGTCAGGGTTTAGTGAGTGCCCTCCCTTCGCTGCCCTTGATTTCTTACTGACTTGAAGCCAGTGGCGTGGCCCTGGTTCCAACACCACCCTGACCAACTCTTGCATGTGTAAAACTCTCTGCCGTCATGAAGTCTGTTGGCACTCCCAGACGCCAGGGTCTTTCACGGGTATGTTCCCAGACTGCTCGGTCTCCTCTCATTTCCTTTGTACCCCTACCCAAATATACTTTCACCATCAAACTTCCCAAGTATCCACATGTTCCGACTACAGGAAGATCATTCATGAAGACGTAAAGTCAGCCTGGCATAGAAAACCACGCCTAAGGCCATCCTCCTGTAACTTTGATTCCACTCAGCAGAGACTCAGTATTATTTGCCATCAGCCCTTGTTACAGCTTCCGGCCCCTTGACAAACTCACGTGAGGCAGCTCGTGTCCGTGTCAGCTCGAATGAGTCTGTCAAGTGAACTCATGGGCGACTGAATTAAATGTCACTGTAGGATTGAGCATCTGTGACATCACACTAACCTGTCGCTCTCTGTGCTCACAAATCTGCACAATCAGGACAAATTAGTCTAGCACATGACTTCTAACAAACAGTCTCTTTTGTTGAGTGTGGCTCATGCCCAAAAGGAAATAATGGACCAGTGGGTGAAAGCAATGAAATTTCATCACTGGTTCAAACATGGTCAAGTGGTAAATAATAATGGGAAAAAAAATGCAGTTTAGTGGTGTGTCCAAAGACGGGTTTAAAGCATGACCTCAAGAAGCCCATCACAGCAGAGTCCTAGAGAGATTTAAGAAGCAAAAAGATGGATCTCTGTGAGTTAGAGGCCAGCCTGGTCTGTAAGAGCTAGTTCCTGAACTCATGGATTGTGTCAGTAACAGGAGTTCTCTTTTCATTTGAAAAAAAAAAAAAAGTTGAGAATTGCCAGGTGGTGGTGGAGCACACCTTTAATCCCAGCACCCAGGAGACAGAGACAAATGGATCTCTGTGAGTTCAAGGCCAGTTTGGTCTACAGTGAGTTCAAAGGCAGTCAGGATTGTTACACAGAGAAACCCTGTCTGGAAAAACAAAAACAAACCAAACAAACAAACAAAAACCACCAAAAAAAGTAGAGGATTGTGGGAGTGGCTCCAAGACAGAGAGGCTCATTACAAGCAGATAGAGAATATTCCCTCCCTGGCTTCCCTTTAGCGTCTGTGTTAGAGTCCTGGTCAGTTTTGTTGTTGGTCTGGTTTGCTTTTTTGTGTTTGCTTTGTTTTTAGAGGGAGGGTTGTTCTCACATAGTTAGTATGGGGGGGGGGATTATTTGTTGTTGTGTGTCTTTTGGGAGGTTTTGCTTTTTATTTTTTATTTGTTTTTGGGTTTTGGTTTGGTTTTTTGTTGATTGTGATTTTGGTTTGGTTTGGTTTGGTTTGTTTTTTTTAGCTAGTTATCTAGAAAGAGGAATCCCATCTGAGGAAATGCCTCCATCAGACTGACCTGTAGGCAAGTCTATAGGGCATTTTCTTGATTAATGATTGATGTGGAAGGACCCAGCTCACTGGGGGCAGTGCCACCCTAGACAAGTGCTTCTAGGTTGGGCTAAGAAAGCAGGCTGAGCAAGCCTTTGGGAGCAAGCTAATTAGCAGGGTTCCGCCAAGGCCCCTCTTCAATACCTGCCTCCAGGTTCTTGTTCTGACTTTCTCAGTGGTGGACGGTAAGCTGTCAGATAAAATAAACCTTTTCCTCCCAGTCACTTTTGGTCATGATCTTTATCGCAGTCAGGGAACAAACTACGACAGCCAGTCTCCTTGCTTGGTCGCCTTCTTTTGAACTATCGTAAAATACACACTGTAAAATTTACCGTCTCAATCATTTTGGAATATGTGATTCAGTGGTATAGTAAGTACAGTTATAGCGGCATGCAGCCATCGTCACCTGCATCCTGGGAAAAGCTTGCAAAATTCTGTATCCATCAAGCAAAACTTCCCCATCCTCCTGCCCCTACTTCTGTCAACCACCACTGTGCTTTCTGTCTCCTTACTATCACTACATGAGGAACCTCATGTGAACAGAATTGAACAGTTTTCTTTCAAAATCACTCTTCAAACACTACAGAGGCCAGGCTTGGTGCTCTATACTCTCTATACCTATAACCCCAGAACTCAAGAGGCTGAAGCAGGAAGATGGATAGTTAAGAGGCCAGCCTGGGCTAAATGTTAAGTTCAAAGACAGTCTAAATTCTGCGACTCTGTTTCAGAAAAAAAAAAAAAAAAAAAACAGAAAGAAAAAGAAAAACTTACACTAACAATAACTCTTCTTCAGGGGAGAAGCTAAACATAATAGATATTCCCCAGAAGTGAAATTGTCGGGATAACAAGATAGCAACTATAGATTTCATTGCACAGACTTCACAGACTTACATGTCAGTATTCTGGTTATGCACGGGCCAAGATATCTCCTTAAGAGTGGTACTTAAACTTTAGTGCTCATTGAAAAAAAAAGCATGTCACTAGAGGCTGCAGAGATGGCTCAGCGGGAAAGAGCTCATACCCGTAGCTCGTGTGGAGGACACAAGTTGGGTCCTAGCACTCAAGTTCAATGGCTAACAACCACCTGTAACTCCAGTTCCAGGGGATCCAGTGTCCTCTTCTGACCTCCAAGGTCACCTGAACTCATGTGGGCATGGCTATAATTTATAAGAAAATCATTTTTAAAAAGAAATACCACGTGGCTAATAATCAAAACAGTACTGAGTGGGGACTTAGAAGTCTGAATGTGTTGCCAATGGCCATGGGAGTTGGTATAGAAAGTTCTTATCAGCTAATGTCAGCACGGCAGATTAGACCGGAAGTTGTGGCCCCTGTCTCTGCTCGGACAATCTTGAATGATGTGGAGACCGTAGAGCCCTGACACCATTGCTTCACTTGGTTCTCCTACATGTAGGGTCCACTAAGTGAGCTGTGGAAAGCAGGGACATGGGTTCATGTTATTTGGAACAAAATTAGTCAACCTAGACTCGGGGGCCCCAAAGGACCCTGCAACTCCCAACCATCACAGCAGCCTGAGGGCAGAGCCGCCGCCGTTCTACTTGGGTCGTCTCTTCTGGTCAGACTCTGGCTGGAGAGAAAAGACTGGCTATCCCCAAGGTGTGTTCGGCTGTGAGAGATCATTATCTAGCTCCTGTCTCCTTTATAGCTTTCCTTTTCTTTCTTTCTAGAATATGTCCGTCCTGGAGAATCACCACTGGCGATCTACAATTGGCATGCTTCGGGAATCAAGGCTTCTTGCTCACTTGCCAAAGGAAATGACGTAAGTGCTGCGGAGATGAAACAGACTGACGTGCACGCAATAAAGATAAGTCACGTTCTCCAGGGCAAGCTGGGGGCCGCTGTGTCAGTAGCAGGGAACCAGCTGCTGGGATGTCTGTCCTCCCTTGAGAATCCAGCAGGAGATTCAGCGTCAGGTGCTGCAAGCCAGAAACGGGAATCTCCCCGGGCACTGGGAAAGGAGTTCAGAGGGTCTAAAACCTAAAGTCCGGGGAAAGGGGAACAGAGAGCGCTCAGCTTTCACACTCTTGAGCCACAAGGCTCGGCTCTGCCAAATTCCTGTCCCTTATGTTAGCAAAACCGTCCTCCCGTTTAGATACAAAGAATAAATATTTGTCAAGAAAGAACATAGGAATTTGCAAGCTAGATTAAGGACCCATCCAGTACTGTGTGCTTTGTCATTGCCAATCTCCAGGGAAAGTGGGAGTTAGAAACGCTTGGTTCCGTGTAACTCATGCCTATATTTCTAGCACTGTGGAAGCTGAAGCAGGAAAACCACTGTGAGTCTAAGGCTACAAAGCTCAGAGGTTAAGAGCACTGGCTGCTCTTCCAGAGGTCCTGAGTTCAATTCCCAGTACCCACATGGTGGCTCACAGCCATCTGTAATGAGATTTGGTGCCTTCCTCTGGCCTGCAAGCTCCCTCTTGCACATGCAAGCAGAACACTGTATACATAATAAATGAATTAAAAAAAAACTCCACTCCAAAAAATAAATATATATATATATTGTTTTATTTAAAACAAAATAAATTAAATGAATTTGTTGACCAAATTGACCTTAGCCATTTTATTTAATTTATTTATTACTTATTTACTTATTTTGGTCATTGATTTGTTTAATATCTTTTTCTTTCTTCTTGTCTTTTTTTTCCTTCCCAAGATAGGGTTTCTCTTTGTAGCCTTGCTGTCAGAACTCTCTCTGTAGACCTGGCTGGCCTTGAACTCAGAGATCCTCCTGCCTCTGCTTCCCAAGCGCTGGAATTGAAGGTGTGCGCCACCACGCCCAGCTGTCTTTTGCATTTTAAGCAGAAAAATATTAATTTTCATAGCCCGCTGTTTGTCAGACCTGAGAGAATCATCTTCCTCATTTTCCTCATGGCCCCAACTTAGTCAATACACTGTTTTACAAACCACCACTAATTCTGATCTCTTTCATGAAAACGTGCAGGACCCAAAGGAATTAGGTGAGTTGTGAGTGTAGGAAGAGCCTGTGGGAGCTAGCGGTCCAGGTCAGGGTGGTGTGGATGCCACAGGACTGGTGTAACAGGCTTTCTCGGCCACAAGCCACCAAATCATGACCTGGAGACATAATCAGCTATGTATGCTCAACCCTATCTTAGGCTTGTCCCACCAGCTCTTATAACTTAATTTAACCTGTTTCTCTTCATTTACTTTTTGCCTCAGGGCTTTTTGACCTTTCTTTCGTTCTGCATGTCTGACTTTTCCTGCTTCTTCCATGTCTGGCTGGCCTGCAGTACCTGGCTGGCTGGCTGCGGGTGTCTTTCTCTTTCTCCTTATTCTCTTTTCTCCAGAGTCTAGACTTCTTCTCCTGCTTATTCTTTCTGCCCACCAGCTCCTCCTATCCCTATACTGTCTTGGCTGTTCAGCTTTTTATTAGACCAATCAGATGCCTTCGGCAAGCAAGGTAAAACAAATACAACACATCTTTACGTAGTTAAGCAAATGCAGCATTAACAAATGTGACACACCATTACAAAGTTAAAGTAATAATCCACAGCAGACAGGTACTATGCCCTGGGCTGAGTGATGTGGGCCATAGGACAGGCAGCATACCTGGGCTTGTAAGCTTTTTTCCTGGACCTCTGACACTATTTCACGCAGCTCTGGAATGTTCTGCTTACAGAAGGAACTGAACTCTTGATAACTTTTTAACCCTCTGGAAATAAAACCAGGCCAAAAGGAAAGAGAAAAGAAAAGAAGTATGGAGGGCAGGAAAAAGAATAAAGAATATAATGAGGGGTCGGGCAGTGGTGGCGCATGTCTTTAATCCCAGCACTCAGGAGGCAGAAGCAGGTGGATCTCTGTGAGTTTGAGCCAGCCTGGTCTACAAAGCTAGTTCCAGGATGGATTCCAAAGCTACAGAGAAATGCTGTTTTGAAAATCAAAACAAAACAAGCGAACAAATAACAAAAAGAATATAATGGGGGGAAAGGGGGAAGGAAGGCACAAAGGACCCATATGGCCAGCCTTTTGCCAAGACAGCCCCACCAGTCCTTGCTCTCCAGTTAGGGTCCTCAGACTCATCCTCCCGCTTTTGAAAATTTTGACATTGCTATGAAAATGTCACTTATTTCAGCACCACGGTGTCTTTGTGAGACACTGTGTTATCAAATGTTGCCGCTGGAAGACTAATTATTACATAATAATAATTGTGAACAAGCTTCACCAAGAAAGTTATATTCATCTTTATTAGTTTTTCTACCCTCAAGGAAGGACTTTAGAGTTATCTTCCTGACCTTTGAAAGCCAGATATGTTAAATGCAGAAACAAAGGAAAGCTGAGAAAAGTACTCATTAGAACCATAATGAAGTTGTCATGTCTGAAGAACAAAGCAGCAGACAGAATACGAACAGGTTCGTGTAGTTCAAAGAAGAAAAACAAGTGTACTGGTGACCCCATTTGTGAGAAATAGTCACCGGTAACCTAGCAGCTGTTTCCTTTCAGTATTTTTCAGTATGATCAAATTTAACAAGATGCAAGACATTTGCGCAGGTTTTGTTCTTTTGTTTTGGGGTTTGGTTTGGTTTTTATGTATGTGCCTGCTTGTCTGTATGTACCCATATACATTCAGGTCCCCTCGGGGGCCAGAAGATGGTGTACTAACTGGAGCTGGAGTTACAGGCACTTGTGAACCATCCAGTGTGGGCGTTAGGAGCCAAACTCAGATCCTCTGCTAGAGCAGCAAGGGTGCTTTACCTCTGAGCTTTCTCCATCCCTTCTTCTTAGATTGCTTTAAGACAGGAGCTCACTTTCTAGCCCAGGCTGACTCAAACTCATATTGGCTCCGTCTCTCAAGCGATGAGATCACAGGCATTGGACACCACATCAGGCTTCTAGTTTCCACCCTAATGGTGTTTGTTTACTATAAAGGCTTTCTTCTACATCAGCCAATGTGTTACTTAAAGTTATTGTGTTGACCCTTTCTCAATATCGTACCCAAGCAGATGTGTCTATTCACTATTGCTTGGAAACTAGGTGGTTTCTAAATTATCACTATAAATAACACTCTTTATAATAAAAGTATAATAAAAGGGCAACATAAAACCACGGTCACATTGTATCTGAGACATTATTACATCAGCAGCTCTCAGTGAGTTTTCAGGTGCCCATTAAATATCTGGATTCTAGTTTTACTTGTACTTTCCTTCACTCTTGAAAATATTTGCTCACATCTGTAGGTGCTGCCAAAAAATCATAACATGGATAAGGCATGGTTCTGAGGTGAGCGGTGTTTGTCCCTGGGAAAACAGGACTTGCTAACATGTAGTAAAAAAAAAAAAATAATCCAATCTTTCTTTAAGCTGAATGCCAGATGGCACACAGCTCCGTGCATCGCGTTTGAAAAATGGCAGGTATTGTATTTATCATCTGAACACAGAATTGCAGATATACCAAAATATTATTTCCCCAGAAACCTTAAAATCTAAAATGCACATATTCTTCCAAAATTGTAATACTCTGGATTGTAAAGATTGCTTTTCCAAGAAGCTATACTTAACCTGTGTTGCCACTGATAACAAAAGAATCTACCAACAAACTATCTCCCAAAATTGAGCTGTATCTTTTATTATATTTTGAAGTATTTGGAAGTTTTCACAAGTATGTATGTACACACGTGCGCACACACACAGCGAAAGCATGGAAGAGCTTCTCATTCAATCACCAAGAATCTTTTGCTCAAGCTGACACTTAAACTTTTTATGTATTTATCAGCCGCTGCTATTCATTTTAGAGCCCTTATTTTTGCTCTATTCACATTTTTGTCACGGCTATTCATTTGTAAGAACTCTCTATTACGTATACTAACTTCTTATAGATTATAAATATTACTTGAAGTTCTTTATTTGTCTTTCAACTTTACTCACAAAACAATTCTAATTATAATGTTATAATTTTACTATAAATTTAATAACTGGGGGGGCTGGAGAGATGGCTCAGAGGGTAAGAGCAATGCCTACTCTTCCAAAGGTCCTGAGTTCAATTCCCAGCAACCACATGGTGGCTCACAACCATCCGTAATGGGGTCTGGTGCCCTCTTCTGGCCTGCAGGCATACACACAGACTAAATATTGAATACATAATAAATAAATATTTTAAAAAATTTAATAACTGCTCATATTTTTAAATGCATGCAACATTGAAAAATATAAAGAAAAGGGGAATCAACTGTAATTCTACTTTACTTCTAACTTACTTTCTGTTACCATGGAGATCACACTTTACATTCATTGGTTCCTGCTTTCTTACGCAGTAAAACATAACATTTCTGCATATCAATAAATATACTACTTAACAGTTGTATAGCATGAATGCAGCTGCTATAATCTCCTACTCATGAATTATTTCTTCCCTAAAATGTTTGTTATTATAAGCAAAAAGGTAAGCATCATTATATCACATACCTTCCTAGCCATCTTCTTGTTAACATGTGCATATAAACTTGTACACAGCTTAAATCACCTCATTTCCACCATCAAATGATTTTTATGCTAATTTCTCAGTACCCCCAGACACACTGCACTAATTTATATAATAAACCAGAGATGAACACACACCATGATGCAGCCATTTCACTCCTGACTAAGCACCCAAGATCATCTTCTGCACCCGTGTAACTGGAAGTACGGAAGCATGGTTATTGGGCATTTTGGATAATAGTCAAAAACTAGAAGCAACTGAAGTGACCATCAAAAATGGGTAGACACATTAAAGTATATTGTTATAATGGAATTCAATATAATAGTGAAAATTATGTACTAGAGCTTACCTGTCAAAAGGATGAATTTCAAAACATAATTTCAAGTCAAAAAGACATGAGCCAAACATAGTGGCATAACGCATAATAGTGGCATACCAGCATTTGGGACATGGAGGCAGAAATACCATAAGTTCAAGGTCAGCCTCCCTACATAATAAGTTAAGGCCTTACCTGAACTATATGAAACCCTGTCTCAAAACAGCAACAGAGGTAACATGCTCTAATCAATGACCCTACACCAATGTACATACTGGAAGCACCAACTGGAATCAAGTTAACCAAAAAAAAAGGGCATGAAACTGAAAAAGAGGTAGATCAGGGTGAAGGACCTGAGAAGAGATGAAGAGGAAGGACTAGGGAGGATTTGGTGGAAACACATTGTACACATGTATGAAATTCTCAAAGAATAAAAAATATGGTTAAAGAAATAAATAGTACAAAGACTACCCACCAAAGGCGGTGAAGGCAAGCTATATTACTATATACTACATATATAGTATATACCATATAACAAAGTCTGAAAGTGGCTAAAATGAAATCATTTTATTAAACATGAATGACGGAACCAGTAGAAGAAGAAGAAGAAAGCAAAGAACAAGGGGGTGGTGACAGCAGGCTTGCTGGAGAAGGAGGGCGTGGAAGAGGCAGTGGGATGGCCTAGGACACTGGCAATGGTCTTTGCCTGGGTGGTGATGACTAAGTCACCTTGACTCATTAATCGGCACAGCCATTCTCTCTGCACCCTGCTTCAACACTGCCCATTTCTAAAGGTGAACTTTAAATAGTTACCACTCCGTCCTTCCTTCTCCTGATCGGCTTCAACATGAGAAACAAAGCTTTAACCTGCACTGTTTTTGTAAAATGTCCCATTTCTCCTGTGCTGTTTGTATGCTCAGGTGTCTCTTGTCTGTTGGTTTGCAATGGTGTCTTAATGACCCAGATTTGCCTTTAAGTTCTGCTGTCTCTTTCTGGCCTGTCTGTTTTGTGTTATTACTGACTCATTCCATCCCACAGTACCATCATCATTACATCTTCCTAATTATGATCGTTAGGCTGGGAAAGATGGCTCATTGGTTAGCAGTACTTACCGCTCTTCCAGAGGACAGGAGTTCAGTGCCTGGCACCCACATCAAGCAACTCACAATCTTTAGTAACCAGGGAATCTAATGCCCTCTTCTGGTCACTATGGGTATTGTCAAGCAAGATAATAGACATAGAAGCACACCCCTACACATAATAACAGATAGACATAAATATTTTTAAACATTAAAACTATTGCTGCCACCTTTTCTTTCTCTATGAACATCTTAACGTTTTAGCTACTTTGAACTTTCAAAAGGCACGAGCCAAACATTTGTGATTTTTCTAAGTCTTTTATGTCCCCCTTAACGCATGCCTTTCTTTTACTCTTTCCACTCTTCTTCCCCCATGGCATCCGTGGGAATGTGGAATGAACACGTTTGAGTCTCTCTGTGCAGCTCTGACACACCCCCTGTGCAAGGACAGAAGGCTCACTCTCAGGCTGTGAGGGACCGGGGTGCTGTGTGATAAATAAATAAATAAAGTGGTAAGCCGCGTGATGATGAGACACTCAGTCATCCGAGTGGGACTAGCCTTGTGAGTGTGCGTTTCTCTTTTGTTCTTGTGGCTGCAGACAGGATATTGAACAGCAGCTGGGCTCCCTGATCTTGGCCACCGACATCAACAGACAGAATGAGTTTCTCACCCGCTTGAAAACCCACCTCCACAATAAAGACTTGAGACTGGAGAATGTACAAGACAGACACTTTATGCTTCAGGTAAGCAACAGAAGCCGTCAGCCTGGCCAAGTGAAAACACTTGGGGTTGTAATCGATGGTTTTAGCACGTTTTGAGGAGGCGCTCTAATGCGTGGGGAAGTTGGAGTCGTGACCTACTTTATTAAAAGCTTGGAAAGAGATGCAGCTGCTAAGTGTTTTCCAAGCACAAGCAAAAGCAAGGTTTCAGAAAGTGGATGGAAAAAAATCTCATTTTTCCTTGCTTGGTAACTGTCTCATCACAAAGTAACCTTGATGGAAGACTGCATGTATCAGTAAGTGTATAACCCTCGGGCTTGGTTGCTTTTGACTACCGTAAAGAGATGCCAATGGCCAAGGGAACTTCGGGAAGAAAACATGTCACGAGAGGTTTGATTACTATTTCAAAGGGTGAGTCTGTGACAACTGTGGCAGGGAGCCTGGCAATGTGCATAAGCATGGTGCTGGAACAGTCGCTGAGGGCTTACATGTTGGGACAACAACAGCGAGGCAGAGAGAGAGAGAGAAAGAGAACCAACTGGGAATGGCCAAAAGCCCATCCCCAGTGACACACTTCCTCCACCAAGGCCACACCTCCTAATCCTTCCCAAGCAATTCCACCATTGGAAACCCAGCACTCAGATATATGAGCCTATGGGGGCCATTCTCATTTAAACCACCACAGCCTTGTATAGATAGTTCCTGCTATACAAAAAGGAAAAAACAGTGCTGGGAGTCACATCCAAAATGGGCAGCCTTGACCAGGAGTGCCACGGCAAGAGCTCTACCCTGAGCTACCCATGTTCTGTGTCTTGATAGAAAGTTAATCAGTGTGACACCTATGCCATGGAAGGACTACTTCTGTCATCTGAGAGGATATTATGCAAATCACAGTGCCACCAAACCCTGAAATCAAGCCCTTAGCTTTCCTTCACCTGAGGCCTGGCCAGATTGACCTTGCCTTCTTTTTTCTATACCTAAGCTCTTGCTCAGGAGACGTTTATGGCTTTTCAGATATAAACATATACATCAAATTGAATCAAATAGTTGAATTGGATCAAGCCCAATCCTTTCTGCTTTACTCCATGGCAAGAAGCCATTTATGATGCAAGAAGGGAGACATATTGGACCTCAGAATTAGAAGTTTGACCCAATATCCATATCAGAGCCTCCTTCTGCTTTCTCTCGTCTTCCTGTTCTTTTGGCATAGATGAATGCAAGCCTGGATGTGGACCCTGGCTTACCTAGACAGACCAACTACAACCAGAGACTGGACCATATTCATTTATCCCAGGCCTTTCACGTGTCGCTACCCAGAGTACTCCATCCATACCAGGAAATGCCCTGCTTCTAGCTGTAGGAATATACCCATACACGTACTTCTCTTTTTTATTCTAATAGATTTGCCTTTATTTTTTCCTTGTTTTTATTGAACTATATATTTTTCTCCCCCCTCCCCGCCCCATTTCTTTCTAAACTAGTATTTGCTTACCTAAATTCTCAAAGATTAGTACCCTACTGCCAAAGATGAGCCAGGGGTTGACTCAGACCAACTTGTAACTGAAATATTTGGCTCTGCATTGCAAAAGAAAGTCATGCTAACTCAACAGAATCTTTAAAATCCTTAAAAGGACCTCTGCCCCTTACCTATGCCAACACAGGCACTGATGCCCCTGCTGACCAAAGAAAACAACTGGCTTTAGGGCTTAGTGTCATCCAAGGCTCTCCCAGACCCCACACTCCGATCCATTCTGATATAAGGAACTGGGTCACAGCAATGAGCATTGCTAGTGAGCAGGTCTCCTGGCAGCCGTCGCTTAGTCGCTAGTCAGGAGAACCCACATGCCTGGGACTTCAAGGTGAGTCCTCTAGGATCATCACTACAGACAAACCTGAGAGGCACCTCAGATCCAGAGCCATGTACGGCAGCCCAAGAAGCCCTGACTTAGCCAGGCAAACACAAGACTCCTGGGTTTAGCATGACGTGGTACTTTGGCTGGCAGGCTGAGCTTACTTACACTAACAGACATGTAAGCACAAACACAATTTAAGAGATGTATGGAGATGTCCACATAAGAGTGACTTCCAGATGATTGTACTTGAGTCTGGCCAGATCCCTGCAACAACCTGCCACAGAGGGCTGGGACAACAGATGGAACCAGACCAGGGTTTTCATTGGCCTGCCCACCTGCCCCCCAAGTCTTCTCCAGGAAGCTCTGTACCCTTAGACGGAGACTCACCTCCCTTGCTGCTATAAAATGGGAGCTCTGATGAAGGATTTTATGCAGTTGTGGATAACAGTTGTTTCCTGAGAAGGAACTTTACAAAATGCTGGGAAGGCCTTCTGTAAACAGGGTCTTGGAACCCAAGACAGACAGGCAGACCTCCTGGGCCCTTTGGCTTAGGGGTACGTTTGCACCTGAGAAGGCATGCTGGGAAGGCGCTCTATAAACATGAGCTTGGTACCGCGAGACAGACAGGCAGGCCTCACAGGACTGGGGTACATTTGAAGAAGCCCTCTGACTTTCTCTCCCTGCCCTGTCCTTTCTTAGATCGCCTTGAAGTGTGCTGACATTTGCAATCCGTGTCGAATCTGGGAGATGAGCAAACAGTGGAGTGAAAGGGTCTGTGAAGAATTCTACAGGCAAGGTTAGTAGATCCTACAACTGAAGAGTCCTTTCCCCTTCTCACTTTGAACAATGATCCGAATAAAACAGGAACGGCTAGTCTGTCATGACATTTGCTCTTTCATTAACTCTGATTATCCTAACCTTTTTCTGTAACTCTCTTCTGAACCATCCAACCCTTTCATGGGGAAGAGAAGTTTAAATAAATATCACTGACTACAATGAAAGCAGGTAATAACAAGATACAATGCAATGAATGAAAGCAAGATACGCACACACAGTTATACACATAGATATATATATATATATACATGTATGTATGTATGATAGACAGTTCAGTTTTTGCCCTGACCTTCCTTTCAATGAGCTGAGTACAGTCTAAAGGCTAAGCACTGTTTGGAGGTCAAGGTCTTCCATCCTGAGAGAATGATTTGGAGCATTTTGTACGCCTTTTTTTCAGGGTCTTAAAGTTTCCAATGAAATAGCTCAAAGTTAGCCAAGAATTGAACTAAATCATTTGAATATAGTTTCAACAATAACAAATGCGAATATTTCTGTGAAAAGACAAATGGCCCTAAGGTAGGGCATAATTTTTCAAAGATCGCCTGCCTTCAGAAGGCAGGCAGTAAATTAGCAGGCAGAATCCCGACGTTGGGTGGGATGTGGACGTTTAAACACAGCCTTGTTTCTTCAGGCTGGGTTTCAACATTCAGGATGTTTGTTCGGGCATCAGCAGTGCCCTCATGCTAGTGACAGGATCAGGTTTAAGAGGCTGGGAACAAACAAAGCTTAAAGTGTCCCACATACCAGCTCCTCAGGGAGGTCAAACAGCAACCGTGAGCCTTTTGGAAAAATGTCCACTGAGAGATATGTCAATGGCATCGTGATGGTTCTGAAGACGGAAGACAAAGGAGGGATGAGTTCACACGGGGCCAGAAGGGTTTGCTCACTGACACTCTGGGAGCAAAAGTGCTCGTGGAACTCTTATGACAAGCGTCCAGCATGAGTCATTGGAAGTTCAAAACTCAGTTCTAGTTGACCGAGACGTAAAGTCTCTGCTGAGGTCAGAACATAAGGGAACACAATAAAGCTGGAGCAGAGAGCTTTCAGAGTAAGCAGGGTGTGACTCACGATGTGATGCATAAACTATTGAAACAGCAGCGGGAGAGGAGGTGGGGTCTACAGTGTTGAACATCGAGGTTCTTCTCTGCCCCACTTGCTTTTAACCCAGTCACGTGCTGCGGTTGGTGTCAGTTGGGATTCAACCCTTTAACTTGCTCATCTGACACTTTACTTAGATGCTAAGCAACTTGGGGCAAGGGTCATACCACTTGGACAGACATGGAGTTCCAAATCAAAGCTGTTGACTAAGAGGAACTCACGGCACCAAGCAATAAGGTGACCTATAATATTTCTAGGCAAAAGCTAGCCCTAGTTAGATCTGTGTATGCAGCGCAATAATATGGAATAATATGGAACGGCCTGGAATTCTTGTCTCTGCCATCACTACAGAGGACCTTTCACACATGCTGGATATCCCATGGCAGACAAAGGAACTGAGTACAGACCAGCACATAGCCAGATCCAGCTAACAGCCTTGTCGTCCAGTAGAATTTCTGTTTGTTTTGAGAATGCTGCATTCTGCTCACCCAAATAATCTTCAATCCATATCGAATATTCTTTTAACTTTATAGTTTCCATCATCTTAACTGATCCCATTCTGGATTTCAATGAGGGGTTTGAACTCATGCCTACTCATCTCACCCTGCCCCTGGCAGTCAGCTTCTATCGACAGTTCTAGGTGGTTGTCTCTTTTGCTGTTGCTGTCACCATGTTGTTGTTGTTGTTGTTGTTGTTGTTGTTGTTGTTGTTGTTTTGAGATGGAGTCTTGATATATAATAGAGGTTGATTTCCAAATCACAACCCATTTGCCTCGGGTTCTAGAATGTGGGTGTTGTGAGCGTGGGCCACTGTGCCCAGGTAGGACAAACATCATGGCTATAACATATCGTTAAACAAAGAAAATTCCTTTAAATTCAGGTTTCAGACACAGGGGAGAGGAAAATGGTAGCCTATGAATTAGGAAAATGTCAGATCCTCAGAAGGACAAACATTAAGAAGGTAGAATTTCTTTACATAAGTTGTGAAAATGGATTGAGATCTCCACAATTAACCTAGTCTTTCAAAAAGGTTTTATTGAGCGTCCACCTCTAGCTTTGTCTAATTGTCAGTAAAATTTACTTTTATATAAATAATTCCACATAGGGGATGTTACAGTAGCCAAAAAGGAATATAGCTGGTTTACAGTGTAGCCTTACCTCCCAAATGCTAATGAGCAACATTTCTGGAGAAGAGAGACTGTTTGCTTTTGCTTTTTCTACCTTGTGCATTGGTTAGTAGAATTCCCGAAGAATACAAGTGTTTCATACTTGTCTATTGAGCAAGAGAAGGACTAAACCAATCTCACGGAAAGACATGCAATACAACGGTAGAGACCTATCATGGAAGGCCCACTGCTGGCAAGGGTGGGACTGAGCTAGGTTTTGAAGGCCAGGCGCTGCACTCCACTTTCTAATAAGCTATCTCTGAGGCTTATGTGGTAAGCTAAATTTTAATTAGTTATCATGTAAAAAGAAATTAAAATTTTAGTTCCTAGTGTGGTGGACACACTTCAAGGAGTTCCCAGAACAGACTAGGCAGAAAGCATTTCCATCTATGAAAATGGTGAGGGCTCCTGCCACCAGGCCTGACAATGCAAGTTCGAGCCCCACCCTTGACATGGTGAAGAAGAGAGTCTCTGCCTAATGGTTGTGCCCACCTTCTCCACTCATGCATCATGCACACACACACACACACACACACACACACACACACACAGAGAGAGAGAGAGAGAGAGAGAGAGAGAGAGAGAGAGAGAGTAGATACTACTCAAATGAGCCATTGTTAGCGATCACTGATGCCCTTGGTTTTTACCTTTTTTAGACAAGCTCCAAGAGCCAGTGGTCCTAAAGGGTTCATGGTGATTCCAAGGGAAGAAACGGTAGCCCCCAGAATAAGTTCCTCCAACATCCTATGAATCTGAATTGCCATGTGTTTCTTCTTTCTTCTTAGGTGACCTTGAGCAGAAATTTGAACTGGAAATCAGTCCTCTTTGTAATCAACAGAAAGACTCAATCCCTAGCATACAAATCGGTGAGTTAGAATCTGTTGTTTTTTTTTTTTAATGAATAGCTTTGCACCTCTACCAGGAGTCACAAAATGATAAAAATAATCATAACGACAACAACAACCACGACAGCACAGCCTTCCAGAGATCTAAATAGCTGGACCAAGCAAAGACTTTTATCATGACTGATCTTTTAGATAATCCTCAGTTGAGAAATTAGAACAATTAAGGTATGGATTTGTTACAGACCCTTAACTAACTTAATACTAAGTTATAGTATTACTTTGTGATTTAGGATAGAAATCAAGAGAAGCCCTATAGTACATACCTATAATCCAAGCACTTGGGATGATGAACTATTAAGATCATAAATTCAAATCCAGTATAGACTAGTAGCAAATTCAAAGCCAGACTGAGCTGCATAGTAAAACCCAGTCTAAAAAGCCAAGAGCTCAGAAGGTGACCCAGAGGTATAGCAATTGCATGCAATGTGCAAGGCCATGAACCCATCCCTAGCACTACAAAAAGAACAGAATTTATTGGCTGGAGCAATGGCTTGGTAGGTAAAGTGTTTGCTAGGCAAACTCCAGACTCACCAAGAGATCCTGTGTCAAAAGATACGGAGGAGTGGGTGGGGAAATAGCTCTGTCAGTATGCCTGCCTCACAGGTACACAAGCATGAAGACCTAAGTTCAGATCCTCAGAACCTACATAAGAGGCTAGGCACAGAAGCCAACAAATGATCCCCGAAGCTCATTGGTTAGCCATCCTAGATGAATTAATGAGCTTCAGGGTGGGTAAGAGACCCTGTCTTAAAAAAAAAATGGGTAAATTGTTCAGGAGTGAAGAGCATGTGACTGCCCTTGCAGAGGACCCGAGTTTGGTTGTTAGCATCCATGTCCAGTGTCTCCCAACCACCTCTGTGGGCACATGCACTCATGTGTTAAAGCCCAGATACAGACACACACACACACACGTAAATTAAAATAAAACATATTTTTTAATTTTTTTAAGAATAATTTAAAAAATAAAGGTGAAGGGCAGTCTTGGAGGAACACCCAATTTACCTCTGGCTACCACACACATACACACACATACACACACACACACACACACACATGCACAAACATGCACATGCATGTGTAAATGTACATGCGCATATATGTATACACATATATGCACACATATTTGCACATGCACAAAAATATACACGTGTATGCACATGTATACATGCATATATACATGCACACATATGCACACAAATACACACATGCATCCACACAAATGCAAACACAAGCACACAGTGCACATAAATGCAAAACACACGTACAAGCATTCATATGCATGAGAACACATGTGCACATGCAAACACACACGTATACACAAAAAATAAACAGTAGTAATAAAAGAGAGAGCAGCTGATAAAGACACCCATCTTTGACTTCTGGCTTCCAACTGCGTGCACAGATACCTCTGTACCCACATGCACATATGCAACCACATGCACATGAGAACACACCACACATACAAAGAATAGACTCTAGCCATTCAAAGTCTCTTCAGGGTCCCCTTCCCATGTAAGGCCTGAGATCCTAGAGCCCTGCTGTCCCCTTGTGGCCAGATGTCAGCATTTCCTCTCTCTCTAAAACTTATTTCAGTCATGTTCTCACAAAACTGTACTTCTTTTCAAGTGTCAATTGTGGTAATCTGTTCAAGTATGTTCACATTGCATGCAGTATGATTATTACTTTATCTAATCTCATTGCACATAAGATCCTCACGCAGATCAAGTGGGCAAAATTTTACTTTCCTCACTTTTACTGAAGGAAATATTTTTGCTCTACATCTTAAATCCCTAATTCCATCTCTATGTAAAGCTAGCCTTTCTTCTGGGAGTACTTCCATCGAAACCAAACAAAACATTAACTCTTTTCCTTAACAAACTGCATCCTTGGCATCTAGCAGTTTGCAGCTTTGCACCTTTTCCCACAGACTCCACAGAGGCCTTCGCATCCATAGGGTTGCAAGTCTCCAAGCTCAGTGCCTTGGCATTGGGAAGGGGCATCTGCGAAGATCACCTGAAGAAGAAGAAGAAGAAAGTGAGAGCCTGGAGGAAGGCAGAGAGAGAGAGGGAGGGAGGGAGGGAGGGAGGGAGGGAGGGGGAGAGGGAGAGAGAGAGAGAGAGAGAGAGAGAGAACACCAAGAGCAAAGAGCAACTCAGAAACAAACAACAGAGGCACAGCCTCAACTTTCTTGAGTCCAGCCCTGCTTTGTGCTTTAGTTAGGAGGTTTTAGAGGTATGATTCCTAATTCTGAGACTCCCTTTATTAAACTCTGGATAGAAAGACTCTTGCCAGGTTACTGTTTATAACACATAGAGTCATGCATTTCCCAAGTAAAAACCTTTACACTATTAAGCATACAGCCTAGATCTGGAGGACAGGTCTGATTTCAGAGGTCTGTCCTGCTATTGTCATGAGAACACAAGTACATGTATTTTGTCTCATCGTATGCCCTGGTGTTCAGCCTAGTAATATGTGGTTGCCATAGATCCTGCCTCTAAAATGGAATGGGTATTGAATGTACGGGGAACTCCTAGGGCTACTACATCAGAATAACAAGAAAGAGAAAGGGAAGATGAGTATAAAACAACACTCCATTCATAAATCTTTCCCTGCTACACATCTGCCAGCTCTGGCAGGTTCAAGTCGGAAAGTGTGACAAGGTAAGTCAGGCTAAATTGGGAAAATGATGAAGAGATAAAGGAGCAAATGGATGTTGCAAGCTCTGGTCCATACCCACATACCCCTTTCTCCACGAAATCCTTTACAATGTAGCTATTTTTCTGTCTTGCCCCCCCACTTAAATGTCTGTTCTCATATTCTTATTGTTGTTGTTGTTGTTGTTTATGGCTATTGTGTTGACTAATAGAAAAGAAACTTACAGTTTTCTTTAGTTTCGAAAATTCATACATGTATGCGATGAAATATGATCATATCTACCCCTTATATTCCCCTCAATAGCCCCCCATCATATACATACCAACTTCATATATATTTTTATGACCCAAGTTCAAATAGAGCTGCCCATATGTGCATGGATGTGGAACCACTCACCAGAGCCTGGGAAACCCAGTGGTTATATCCTTAATAAAAAATGATTCTCCCTGTCCCAGTAACTATCCACTGCCAAAAGCAACTCAGTATGAGTAGGGCCTAAAGATCATCTACCCCATCTCTGCACAGTTTTTTTACCTGACTTGACTTTGTATAGGTCTTGTGTGGGTATCCACGGCTGCTGAGTTTATAATTTGTGGCAGCCAAGTCATGGCCAGAGGATGGTATCTCTCAGCATCTCCCAGCAACCTCCCATTCCCTGAGTCTTACATTCATTTTTTCTCCTATCCCACAATGCTCTCTGGGCCTTTGGGGATGAGAGGGTGGGATAATCAGATATCTCTCTCATTGAATATTGAATACTCCGTCTCTCACTCTTAGCACCCTGACTAATTGCGTCTTTCTCCACCAACTGCTATCCACTGCAGAAGGAAGCTTCTCTCACCAAGGTCGTGAGCAGCCCAGACCTAAGGGGGTAAACACAAATATTTAGAAGACAATTTGATGCATGGACATTTAACAAAGCAATATGTTCTACCCTAGGGCCTGTGGCCTCTGTAGCCATGAGCTTTTGATTAGGATTGCAATGCCAGACAAGAAATTCTTTCCTGTGGAACAGGTCTCAAATCCAATCAGAAAGCAGTTAGTTAACTCGTCACATTCATGCCACGGGTGTGCTGGAAGGCACAGCTTGTCTGGCAGGTCAACATCGCAGCACACAGGGACAAGCACTGGGTTAAAAGACATCGGGCTCCTCTCTCCAAAGCTGCCTGCTTAATACCTTCTGGTACACTGAAAGCTGGCCATCAAGGAGGAACTTTCTGAGTTAGTTTGAGATTTCTCTATATCCTCCATCCAAACTGTGTGGTATCTTCAGCAATAGAGTCTAACCATATACTTGTGGTGGGTAACCTGGGCAATGGCAATAACCTACAGGGTTTCAGAGACCCCCCCCCCGAGTCATAGGTCAGTATTCCATGCCTTGTAGTGCAATTTTCATTTACTAACCCATGTCTTCTGAGAGAGGCAGTGCCCACCCATGCAGGGCAATTCCATTCAAACTCTCTCTCCCTTTTTTAAAGTTGTATTTTGAAATTAGACTGTTCATAAATGGGTTTCCATGAGGCTTTTTCATACACCATTTGGTTCTGGTTAAGCCATCCACTATCCCCTTTTGCTACCCCATCTCCCCAGGAGAGAGCTCAGTGGTGAAAGTGTGTAAAGAGCCATCTCTACCTCTCTCTCTCCCATCCCGACCTAAAATGATACATTCCCGAGTGTGAGTCTTAGGGTTGACTTTCTACGGAAGTAGTTCACATCTGCCCAAAAGGACAGAGCACTTTCCTCCCCTTCTCCCACACTTCTTCACTCCTCTCCTCCCTCCATCATTTTTAAAAGATAGGAAATCAAACTCATCTCTGGTTTGTAGAATCTATAGGAAGACAAAAAGAAAAAAAAAAGGTTTCCTTCAACCTGCCATATAAAGCCACCATCCCTCCCTACCCTGCCCACCACACCAGAAGATACAGTAAGCAGCAACTGAGGGGGCAGCCCCTCGAGCCCTTCTGATGCTTACTCCGACTTTAAAATCACTTTCCTAGCTAGAGTAAAATGCCTTCACAGAACACCAGAACAAATCAGCGGTAACTCCACGGTAGTGTCACAGATCAGAGGTAATTCCACGATAGCAGCAGGGGGGAAATGAGTTGAATTTTTTTTTTAATGTTAGAACTATAACTGTTCTACTTAGGAGGCGGCACTTTCTAAAATTCATACTTTGACTTTGAGAAGGCTATCATTTTCCAGTTTTTTTCAAAAAAAAGTCAGATATCTAAATTCAAGACTAACAAGTACTTGTAGTTCACGTACTTATTAAATATAAAGTGTTAGTTGCTGGAAAAATTATTACACACAAAAACATTTGCCCTTTTCTTCATGTTTCCATCTCAGTGAAGTACAATCAAACCTAAATAAATCCAAGTTTATGGTAATTCCAAATATTCCACACTATACAGAAAGTTATCTTTGTTTAAGAGATCATGCTTAATGTGGAAAACACATTAAGAATAAGACAGGATTAGACCACGATGAGTGTTTGATGATGAAAAGAACAGAAACTTTATCTGGACATGAGTGTAGAATCCGGTATCCTCAGCACTCTGGAGATAGAGACGGCAGGGTCGAGATGAGTTAAGACCAGCCAAGGCCGCATATGAGACCCTGTCGGGCAGGGGCTTTGACGGAGCTAGGAAGTCTAACATCAAACAGTCGTCCGCATTCACTGAAGCAGGATGGTTTTTTGCAGCTAGAACTCTCTCTCAAAGGGGCTGGGCATGTGCCCCTTGTAGAGCATTTACCTCGCATGTGCCAAGTTGTGGGTTTAATCCTAGCTAGCGCTGCTTTTTTTTTAAAAGTCTGCATTGACAATGAATGTTTAGAGCTGGGCGTGCCAGCACATACCTATAATCTCAACATCCCAGAGCCTAGGCTATATAGAGACACCTTGTCTCAAAAAAAAATTAAAATAAAATAAAAACAAAACACCACACAGACTGGTGTCATTGAAGGCAAGACAATACAATAAAAATAATAATCTCAAAAGAAGTATCCTACTAGGTAATCAGAGTGAATTATGACCAAAGCCATTTATTTTCTCCCCTCTCTGCCTGTCTTCGCTGGTTCCATACACTTTTCTCTGTCTCTCTGTCTCTCTCTGTCTCTCTGTCTCTCTCTGTCTCTGTCTCTCTCTGTATCTCTCTCTGTCTCTCTCTCTCTCTCTCTCTCTCTCTCTCTCTCTCTCTCTCTCTCTCTCCCTAAACAAAAACAGTTAGACCGTATCTTGTTCGCCCACCTGTCCCTTGCAGAGTGCCCTGTGTGTCTCTGTCGTGTTTGTGAAGGAGGTGGGTCTGATCCCCCGTGTGGTGACCTCGCGTGTGACCTTGCATGTTGCAGGTTTCATGACTTACATCGTGGAGCCGCTCTTCCGGGAGTGGGCCCGGTTCACCGGGAACAGCACCCTGTCGGAGAACATGCTAAGCCATCTGGCTCACAACAAAGCCCAATGGAAGAGCCTGCTGTCCAAGCAGCACAGACGCAGGGGCAGCGGCCAGGACTCTGCAGCCCCCACATCTGAGACCCTGGAGCAGACGGAAGGCGCCACGCCCTAAGACAGCCCAGTCTGCAGGAGCAAGGCCATCTGACCGCCCTCGCCACAAACCCACCACTCTGGGCTTCGAATGCCACCCGCCTGCCACTTACCGCCTCCCTTCGTTGATCCAAGTGTACAGAAGCCATTGTCACCTCAGCATTAGCTGCCGAAATAAGCGGCTTCGTCCTGTCCCTGGAGCTGATCCTGGGGCTGCTGCCCCAACCGAAAAGACCAGGAGTAAGGAAGAGGTGCTTCTGCCATGTCCCGCTCTGGCCCTTGGTCACACTGACTGGCAGAGGCTCCTACGTCCAGAGCATTTTAGGGTTTGCCATCAGACCGCTGACCTGCATGACAACACCAGCAAACTTGGAACTGCAAGACTGGTCTTCGTGCCAGAGCACAAACGAGAGTGTGAGAGAAAGTATCTTCTATTTTAATAATAATTATTATTATAAAATAATAATGAATCTTTTTAACTTTTCTATTTCATGCACCAGGCAATGGGTCTAAATCTTTGGACTAAGATTACTCAGTGTACCCAAACCTGAAGAGGGGGTTCATTGTTTTGCTATTGACTCTTTGCCACTTTTAGTCAGAGATTTGGCATCTTTGCAATTTATGAAACCCTGTGTTTCCCCTCCCGGCTGGTAGCAGGTGCTGTACAGTTCATTCCTTTGCACCTCCGGCCCATCTATCTTTTACGGATTCAGTGACCTGTTTATATTCACACGTGTACACTTTCTGTAAATACCAAACGCTACTGATTCCCATGCCAAAATACACGAGTATTATGGGATTGCTACCTGTATAAACAATGGCACTGTGAACAGAATACTGTTAGTTTTAATACAAGAGAATGCATTTGTAAATATGGTATAGAGTTTATTAATATACTGTTGTTCGCAGATAAAGGCCTTAACTTTAAACATCTTTCCTCTTCCCAAAGCTGCCCAACTAAATCTTTAGGGACGTCTTTCTGAACTGCCTGCCCCCAGTCACCATCTCTCTGCTCTCCTGCTAAGGTCACAAGCCGAAACTGAGTATCGTCTTGGAGGGGACTTTTTTAGGGGGGAAACTTCTCATGCATTCCTCTTGAGGCCGTAGTTTTTAATCTATGGCACCAAGTATGGTTTCCTCAGAATAAACACACCCTTTCTGCAAGATGGAGGTGGCTTTCCAGTGCAGCAGTCTTGCATGCTGTTTTAACAAGCCCGCCGATAAGCTTGTGTGTATGTGACTCCTGCTAGAGAACACGGGGCGCATCAACCTCCCAGGAGACATAGCAGGTCTCAACAGGGTCCTATGACCCTGCCATCTAACCATCAGGGAACTCCCGGCTCCCGTGCCACACATTGTCTGTTATGGCTACAATACCAAAGTCTCTTTGGTCCGTGGTTGGTTGGTGTGCACTTCTTTGGTGTTGATAGTAACTGGAGATTACGTTTTTTTTTTTCTATAGCTTCATGTGAACAACTGCCCAACTCTTTAGCTGAATTTAACATTATTTAAGGAAAGAAGCTATTTCAGTTTTATTAGAGACTTTACCCTCCTCGCAGGTCTTTGTGGTTCATTAGGCTGTAACCAGCAGAGTCAGCTGGGGATGCTGTTGCCACTCTTCTGAAGCCCTTGGCTGTAAAATCGAGTGCTTCGGCATCCTTACTCAGGCAAACTCTGCACGTTGAGCCTTTTCTCTATGAGTTCTAGCATAGATAATGTTAGATGGGAGCTACCGGTGCCCCCTTTCTCTTTACTGAACATGGAGCGGGAACATGTCGGCCGTGATGAAGCCACTTCTCAAGCTGATAGAGACAGCTAGCTAGCTCTCATTTCCAATGTGCAACTGATGTGGGTCTGTTTCTCCTGACAATACAAGAGAAATGTGAAGAGCTTGACTGGCCTGGAATATGTTCTTACAGAAAGATTGGGACTTGCAGACTTAAGGTTTTGGAGGGAATTGGAACTTTGGATATATTTTTCATTGAAGTAGGCAAGGTTGTCAGAAGGAGCGCTAAGAAAGACATGAAGGACTTAGGAAATGGGTGGAGGATGCTTTGAAATTCCTGATATGGGTGAGAAGGGAGATCGAGGAAACTTAACACTAACTTTTGTTTTCTGTAGCAGCTGTGAACTGACTTACGTTTCTTTATTGCTATGGTATTCTGAGGGTCTGAGCTTAAGCAAGGCCTCAGACAAGATGGATGGATGGATGGATGGATGGATGGATGGATGGATGGATTCCTGCTTCAAACCCTCCCTTGGGAAAGTGGGGCTGTAGTAGTCTGGTTTTATATATGTGAGATCATATAAAAGAAATCAATTGCTCAGGATGACAAAATAAAATCAGTAAAGAAAGCATTGTTTTTAGCCAGTGAAATCTCTCCCTGGAGTTAAGGAAGTAGAGTTTGCTTACATTATGATTATATTGTGAGTTAATTAGGACGGGGCATTCTTAGTAGTTATAGGGGAAGGGTTTTCACATTGCAGCTGAGTCCTAAATAGGAGTTAACAAATAAAACTACCAAATAGCCAATGGTTCTAAGACACAAATCTAATGAAAATCAGCAGTAAAGGGGGGCGTGCCGCATACATGGATGCACCTTCCTTTTTCTGCCATCTACAAACTTGAGCTCCACGTTTGTGGGCAAAAATTGACGGTGAAAACTCTTGCTTTTCCTGCCTGCTAATGGCTCTCAGAAGAATTTAATACAAGCTGTCCAAGTATTAGTGGAGACACGGCTCTTGATTTGTTGATTTGTGTATCACTACAGCTTTGAAGTCTCAACCTGTGAGTCCACCTAGCTCATGTTTAATTCCTTCGTTGCTTGGAAATGAAGGCCTCAAAGAACTGTTTTAGCAAGCCAAAGTCAAGATCTCAGAGAGAGAAAGAGAAAGAGAGAAAGAGGGAGAGAGAGAGAGAGAGAGAGAGAGAGAGAGAATACATCACTGTCGGGCATGATAATCAGAGCCTACTTTTCTTTGCGTTCATTGAATAAACAGTCAGACCTGATACGTGAAACCCCGCCAACCCATAGTTTCCTGTTAGGTTGAGTAAAACCTAGCATTTTTCTGTCTCCCCCCCCCCACCGCTTACAATGTCCCACAAAGGGCCTTGGAGCACATCCGCAACCCCGTCTTCAGATAGCCCTCCCGCTAAAACACAGCTTGGTGACCTTTTGTGTTGAATCAGATATCCTCACTGACTTCGATGTGGTTATGAGCTTGTATCTCACTGTATTCCTCATGCCTTGTTCTTTTAAGAGCCCATAAAATTGTGTCATCTTGTGTACACATGTAAAGTTTAAAAAAAAAAAAAAACAACTTGTGAGTTTTGCTCAAAATGTGACCGAAATATTTATTGGCATGTCTATCCAGATGAACACTTAAAAATAAAGATTGTTTCTTTAAACTATCACAGTATAAAAATATCCTGCTTCTCCCCTGATTGACACATCACCAGTCTACTAAATGGGAATGGTCTTGTTAGGCAATGTTCAAAGTGCACGGTGGTAAACATGGTCTGTGCAACTCCTTCCTCCAGGGCTGCAGAAACGTCTGGAAAGAGACATCACTTACACTCATCTAGCACCAAGTGAGGGAAACAGGCCACAGTTAGGTTCTACGTTTTGCCAGAATCCTCCATTTTTCTGACTCACATTTCTCACGCACACATATGAATGAGGATTAAAAACTACCATTAAATAGTCTCCATACCCATCTTATTAAGATTGCTCTTCAGAATCCCACTGATTGCTGAATGTCTCCCCATACGAAAGCGAAGCTACTTTTCAATTGTGGATGCCTACAGCATAGTCAAGACCAAAAGAGAGAGCACAGTGACATCCCAAGTGAAGGTCAGACATGACTTGGGCAAGCCCAGAACCCCGGCTGAAGCTGTCAAGTGGTTGAAACCTGTAAGCAACTAACGTGTGATTCAGTCCTGGCTGAGGAGCCGCCACACACCTGAAGCTGTGTGGCATATCGTGGTCTGAAAAGACTGCGTCCTTCCAGTAGGATCTGACTGATGTCAAAGAGTCGTGTTAGCAGTGACTGCTTCTTTTTTGTTTATTTTGGTCACTCTCTTTTTGGTTGCTTTGGAGATGGGGGTCTCACTCTGTAGACCTGTCTGGTCTCAAAGGCAGAAATCCACCTGTTCTCTCTCCTGAGTGAAAGCTGGATTAAAGGCATGTGCCTTTTTCGAAAGAGAGAGAGAGACAGGGAGAGAGAGAGAGAGAGAGAGAGAGATTGCATACAGGAACTTATTGCAAATTCTGTACCAACTACAGCCTGCTTTTATGGGTAGGTACTTCCACAGATTCTAGAAAAAAAAGGCAAGTATATATTTGTAGTTTTTCACCTCAGAACAAAAGCATAATCATTTACCCCCACTGTGTATGACTATGCTCCCAACATCCCAAATACTTGCTGGTGATGGCTCTGGTCTCCTATGTCAGGCCGTGAAATTTCAGGAAGCTTTTTTATGAGAGCCACAGGAACATCCATGGCTTGCACCTCTTAAGAAGCAAGAATTTCATACCACTCACATGTGTTGAAACATATTCCTAGATATCACCTCTCATCTTTCCTATAGCAACACACAAAGCAGAACCACCTCTTAACATCTCAGCAAAGAGAAGATTCCTGCTTCCAGGGAAATGCCATGCACAATCAACTGTTTGAGTAATGACTAAATAAGGAACTTCTTGGCCACAAAGCAGGCTATAATAGGGCTTTTTGTTTTCAATTAAGCCAGAGAGATAGGGGGTGGAATTAAGTTTAAGCTGACATGAATGGAAGATTATCATCTTCATTATCAAAGCAAATGATGTGTCATTGATTCAATTACCCAAAGTGCTTCAAATTCTGGTATTGTGGGTGCTGGTTTGATCTTCAGTGTTTCTCCCTTCTAGGGAAGTATGCTGTAGAGTGTTCAAAGTGTGGGATCTAAAATCAGACTAGAATTCAGATGTTTCGTCATCCTCGCTGTTTACATCTATGCAGATAACAATCTCTCTAAGCTCTGTCTCCTCGTGTATAAAATGATGATAACACCTGCTTTCTGAGGCAGTCGTAAGTTCCAAATTAAATATTGTCCATGGAGATGAAGCCTGGTTTCCAAATGAAAAGGGAGCGGCTAGATAAAGTCTGGGTTCGGAGGAGGTACTGGAGTTCAGTGGAGCCTTTGAAGGATAGGAATTCCTACTAAGTGAGTTCCAGGGCAGACAGGGCTGTTACACAGGGAAACCCTCTCTTGAGGTGGGAAAAAAAAAAGAGGTAGGACCTCGGAGAAGAATGTTAGGTTTGTCACTGAAGGAGGTAGGGAATCGCAGCCCATGTGCTCGCTGCTATTTCCTGGGTGTAATGAAATTGGCACCTTCCTCTCTCACACCCTTCCATGATGCTCTCAGTGTCTTGCCATGCTCCCAAACCAACAGACTGACCAAACAGTGGACCCTCTAAAACCATGAGCAAAGTGGATCTTCTCCATAAATTGATTTTTCTGATATTTTTGTCATAATGACAGAAAGCTGACAAACATAACAGTCTGTATATTATTCAAGAGAGAAGCTGTAGGTGCGTGTCTCTTTGTCGCGGTCGTGAGCTCCTAGGCGCAGCAGGCCCAGAGACGCCAGCACGCCGGTTGCCAGAAGTTGGGTTTGTCGAAAGACCTATGTGACTCCCACGGAGACCCTTCGAGAAGTCGCTTCTCGACCAGGAACTGAAACTCATCGGAGAATATGGGCTCCGGAACAAGCGTGAGGTGTGGAGAGTCAAATTTACCCTGGCCAAGATCCGCAAGGCTGCCCGAGAGCTGCTAACGCTGGACGAAAAGGACCCACGGCGTCTTTTTGAAGGCAATGCTCTGCTGAAGCGACTTGTTCGAATTGGGGTGCTGGATGAGGGCAAAATGAAACTGGATTACATCCTGGGCCTGAAGATTGAAGATTTCTTGGAGAGGCGGCTGCAGAGCCAGGTCTTCAAGCTGGGTTTGGCTAAATCTATTCACCATGCCCTGTGCTCATCCGCCAGCATCACATCAGGGTCCGCAAGCAGGTGGTGAGCATCCAGTCCTTTATTGTTCGTCTGAACTCCCAGAAGCACATTGATTTCTCCCTCCGGTCTCCTTATGGTGGTGGCCGACCAGGCCGAGTGAAGAGGAAGAATGCCAAGAAGGGCCAGGGTGGTGCCGGAGCTGGTGATGATGAAGAAGAAGATTAAGTTAATGTCTCCCTGGACTGGAGAATTGTCTAGTTTCCAGTTGGCTAATAAAACAGAATTAACACTTGGGGAAAAAAAGAGAGAGAGAAGCTGTAAAGTAAAGACTAAGGGGTATCTTTCTGTATGCTGCATCGATTTTGGTGCAACTGAAAACACTAAGCCCATTAATAGGCATTTATCATGATTATAGCTATAAGTAGCCAGGCTGGTCATAAATCTAATCTTTATATTAATGACAAAGCACTATCAAAAATGCTTAAAGGAAGAAGATCATGCTCCTTGGGTACCAAGAATGCACTGATAAAACCAAGGACAAGACAAGACTTTCTCTTTGGTTTTAGTGTAAATACTCCTCAGACCGACCACAGATAACCTGTCTAGCACTTCCCTAGAACTGACAAGAACTCAACAAAGAAAATTTGGTTAAACAAAATTCAAAAGCCTTTTAAGTGTTCAGGAATTTCATTCAAATCCTACCTATGGCTGTTTCCAGTAGGCTTGCCTCTTGTAACTTCATCAGATCCTCTGCAGCTGTTAAAGCTACAAAGGGCTCCAGGGAGCCTAAAGGTAGCTGGAAGAAAGACTGTGTTTCTAAACTAACGTTTCCCGAATCACAGAGCAATGCATCTGCTAAAAGGCTTATGAGAGTGTCCCCCGAGAAAAAGAATGACTTCGCCGTCAAGGAAGTTTAAAGAAATCTCATGAGTGAACACACTTCTCTCTGGCTGCTTTTCCAGACTCTCCCAAGCTGTGGACATCCAGAGATAGTGATCCATGCCTGCGGCTCTAGCATGGGACTGAAATCACAAAGCCTCTCTTACCTGTCCCCACCCACCACGACCACCCTATTTGTCATTTTACTTTCTCTTCAGCAAGGTACTCACTAAATAACCTTAAATTTGTGATCCTTCAACCTCAACCTAACAAGTCCTCTGGCATCACTGTGTGCAGTCAGCTTAATAGCTGGTTTTAGTTTTCGTGTGTGTGTGTGTGTGTGTGTGTGTGTGTGTGTGTTCCGTTGCTATTAGTATTGCTCTAATTTGCTTTCTATTGTGTGCTAGAACACCCTGATCAACAGAAACTTTGGGAAGAAAGGGTTTATTTGGCTTATACTTCCAGGTCATATATAGTCGGTCCATTATTAAGGAAAGTCAAGGCAGGAACCCAAACAGGAGCTTGGAATAGAAACCTCAGAAGAATGGTGCTTGCAGGTTCACTCCCTCACAGGCTTATGCCTCGCTAGCTTCCTCACACAGCCCCAACACCTGTATGAGATAGCACCTGTCAAGAGATGGTGCCACCCACATGTACTGAGCCCACCTGTCTCAACTGATAATAAGACAATGCCCCCACAAACGTGCCCATGGGGCATTAGGAGCTAGGGAATTCTTCAGTTGAGGTTCCCTCTTCTGAGGTGACTCTGGTTGTATCAAACTGACAGACGAAGCTACCTAGCACAGATACATAAGTGTGCACTCTTCTGAGGTTGAGGTGTAATAATTGTTCTTAATGTCACTGAGCCCGTGGTCTGACTTTACCGCCTACCAAGATAAAGGATGTTTCCAAATACATGGATCCCAGCTGTAAAATAATGGGGAAAGTGTAATCTGTCAAAGGGCTTGGAGGATTCAAAAAGTTCCCTCATTTAAATCATTTTGAGCAACGCCTCGCATGTAGAAAAACACTCGGTTCATCAAATGCTAGCAAAACAAACTTCTCCATTCCCATCACCTTCACAAATGCACTCTAGTAAAGCTTTTCAATAATAGAGATTTTTTTATTGTGTGCTCTCCACTTTTGCATAGAAAGTCATGATTTTTTTTTTCCTTTGAGACACATGTTCTCACGATAGAGTCCTGGTTAGCCCGGCACTATGCTGACTCCACTGACCTTCAACTCACAGAGATCAGCCTGCTTCTGCCTCCCTAGTGCTAGGATTAAAATCATGTGCCACCACACCTCGTCCAAATAAATACTTAGGGAACAGATGGTTGATAAATTGAAGATCATAGCAGAACAATGTTAGCATCAAATCCAAACTAATAAAGCCCACTTTCAGGATCTGGAAAAATGGCTCAGTGATGAAGAGCTCTCGCTACTCTTGCAAAGGACCTGGGTTAGGTTTCCAGCACCCACAAGCCTCTTCTGGCCATGATGGGCTCCTGCACACATATGGGACACACAT